AGAGGCTACATCAAATGCAGCCTTTTCAGATATTAAAAAAACTCAACATTGTCTCTTTTATTTTCCAAATCCCTAGGAATAGACTAATTAGAAATTCAATCTAAAAAAAACAATCTAATTTCATAATATAAGCTATATATTAGAAACGAATTTTATAAGCAATAATTACTAAATCCCAATTATTTTATTGGTTTTATATTTTGTGTCCATACTTTTGAATTTTGTTGTTTCATGTTTTTGAGCTTAAGATTCTAATAGGACAACATAATGAAGCATGTAAACAAAGAGGACCCCTCATACCACCCGCAAACTTACTATAATCAATAAAATCACCAATATTGTCAACAAGATGTTGACTTTTTGTATCCCATGATGTTTTTGGTCTCAAAAAATTTATTTGGGTAATGCTATCATTTTCCTCCAGCACGTGTGTAATCATCAGCGAAATCGACGCATGGGTGTTTTCTATTTTTTTCTTCCATTAGTAAATTCCATAACTATTATTAACAACACGACTTATAATTAGTTGCTTTCAAAAAAAATCAAGCTTTGTCCTAAACTATTTTTTGTTTTTGTTGTCCTAAACTATTACTAGTTGGCAGTTGCTGACGTGTATACATTATAACTATGAATCAGTACTGCCAGAGAAGGAGATTAGCTTCCGAGACGCACTTAAAGCTGTACCACAGGCTACGGCAGCCGGTGGTGCTGCTTCCATGGAGGAAGGAGCCGCCGGTAAAGACACAACTCCGGTGGCTGCTATTGGCAAGCAAGAAATGCCAAGTGCCACTGTAATGGTGCGGCTCATACTAACAGTTGTGGGACGCAAGCTTTCTCGAAATCCTAACACTTATTCCAGCCTCTTAGGTCTTGCCTGGTCACTTATATCTTTCAAGTGAGTAAGCAATCACTTAAATCTTTATCAAAAAATCTTAACCATAATCATTGAATTTGTTTGTTATAACTTTTAAGTCATATTTTTGATAAATAATGAGCAGATGGAATATAGCGATGCCAAACATAGTGGATTTCTCGATAAAGATCATTTCAGATGCAGGTCTTGGGATGGCTATGTTTAGTTTAGGTATGAACATGTTCTTATAAACCTACATAATAAATCAAATTATTTTGTATTCTCTGACAAATTTAAAAATTACAGGCCTGTTTATGGCGCTGCAGCCAAAGATGATCCCTTGTGGGGCGAAAAAGGCAACAATGGGGATGTTGATTAGGTTCATCTCAGGTCCCCTTTTCATGGCTGCTGCTTCTCTTCTTGTCGGATTGAGAGGTTCTAGGCTACATGCTGCCATCGTACAGGTAACTATTCAGAGTGCCTTGATTTGGTCCCATTATATTGTTGGAAGAAAAGATACTTGGTGACGGAGAAAGTGTAAAAGAACTTGGGACTGAATTAGAAAATTTAACAATTAGAAGGGACTAATTAGTTTAAAAAATGAAGGATAGATATGTTTTTAGCTTTCAAAAATACAAATATCTAACATGGTTGAATCATATAAATCTAAATAGTCTATCATATGTATGTTACAAAGTATCTAGATATTTTCATAATAATATCTTGATATTTTACTTGGTACAAGTCTCTATATTAGTTTAAGGAGGTATTGATATTTTAGGATGGTTGTAAAGAAACTCTTTGACTTGGATCATGTTTTGCGCTTGGTCCAACAAATGATACTTGGATCATTGGCACATAATTGTATTTCAAAAAATATATTTCACGTGGCTATGATTTAAACTTGATTTCTTATAAAATTTTTGGTTTAATTTATAGTAATATATATACATCCAAATTTGACGAAGCCTATATGTTTTTTAGGCGGCTCTACCGCAAGGGATAGTACCGTTTGTGTTTGCAAGGGAGTACAATTTGCATCCAGACTTACTCAGTACATTGTGAGTCTCTAGCTCTGTTTTTTTTGTTCTTTTTTCATTTACATTTAACGGTTTGAATGATGAAAAAAAAAAAAAAACGGTTTGAATATTATAAAATGTGGATTTAATTATGATTAATGTGAAATTTCTGTTTATTGTTTTTTTTTTTCCAGGGTTATCTTTGGCATGATAGTATCTTTACCAGTAACTATTCTGTACTACGTCCTCTTGGGCCTATGATTCACACAAAATTACACTGGAGAAATGATGGATGAATAATAATAAAGAGGTCTGGAAATAGAGACTCGTGAGCTCGTTACTGAAGAGCTTGTGAGAAAGATTAACGGTTAATTACATTGTTGAATCGAATTACTGGTTGGGGGAATATTTTAAATTATGTACTTGATGATGATATTCAACATTGATCACATGGAGGGTACGTACGTAGTGATGTAGAATCGCTTAGGTTATGAATCAATCGTGAATATTATTTCAACGTTGAAGCCCGCGAGCTGAATGATTATTTTTAGTATGATGTATAGTGAAACGCATATGATTCATACTATATAGGAATCATCGTGAAGATTCTTGTCATGAAGAAACCAAATTATGCATTACAAGCTAATTAATTATATACAAATGGGAATAAATGATTATTCTAACTTGGTCATTGTATTTTCTATTTAATGTCTACTATCCCTTAATTAATGACACTCATAATTGTATCGTTAAGACTTGAGAGTGACGGCCAAGAATATAATTAAGAGCCAATGATCTTTTTAAAAATCACAAAAAAAAACAAAGATCCAACTTGATGACCAAGAATAATATTAAAGATTTCTAATTAAGGTGAAACCGCCCGAAACCAAAACATTCGATGGGTACCGATTACTGCTTTAAGCAACACCACGGCGTGACCATCAAGACTAAATCATTAATAATTGCTACAATTTGTAATTAATTAAAGATCAACAAGAAATGCCACGTGGACGACTACTCGCAACGCCAAGTGGAAAGAGCATTCGAGAGAACAAGGCAAAACCAAAGACGCCCCTAGTAATAATAATATGTCGACTGGAAAATTACAAAAGATATTAGTAATTTCCAGTGGTGTTTTTGTAAATACGAACTTCTTCCATTTACCAGCTGCTATATAAATCCCTTCTCTGTTTCTCTCTTCTTACCATCACAACAGTCACACAAAACTAATAAAAGATCAAAAAGCAAGTTCTTCTCTGTTGATAATGCCTACCACCGGACAGATTATTCGATGCAAAGGTTTATTACTTTTATCCTGTCTTTTTTCCAAATATTAAGTTATCATCGGTCGTTGATTTAGTGTTTTTTTCCTTAGATTTCACCATTTGAGGTTTTGATCATACGAGTTTACGAAAGTTTTAGATTTTCTTTTTAGTAAAAACGGTGTCGTTTTGTGGTGGTTGCAGCTGCTGTGGCATGGGAAGCCGGAAAGCCACTGGTTATGGAGGAAGTGGAGGTTGCTCCGCCGCAGAAACACGAAGTTCGTATCAAGATTCTCTTCACTTCTCTCTGTCACACTGATGTTTACTTCTGGGAAGCTAAGGTAAAATTAATCAAACTCAAATTTCATAATCAAGTTCTAATTCTTACCACAACTTTTCAAAATTCAATCTCTTTTTTTATTCTACAGGGACAAACACCGCTGTTTCCTCGTATCTTCGGCCATGAAGCTGGAGGGTAATAAAAATACTAATCTTCTTGCTTAAAATTTTGGAGGTTTTAAAGGTTTTAGAGATTAAAGATTGGTTTTTGGTTGTGTAGGATTGTTGAGAGTGTTGGAGAAGGAGTGACTGATCTTCAGCCAGGAGATCATGTATTGCCCATCTTCACCGGAGAATGTGGAGATTGTCCTCATTGTCACTCGGAGGAATCAAACATGTGTGATCTTCTCAGGATCAACACCGAGCGAGGAGGGATGATTCACGATGGTGAATCAAGATTCTCCATCAATGGCAAACCAATTCATCATTTCCTTGGGACTTCCACATTTAGTGAGTACACTGTGGTTCACTCTGGTCAGGTCGCTAAGATCAATCCGGATGCTCCTCTTGACAAAGTTTGCATTGTTAGTTGTGGTTTATCCACTGGGTTAGGAGCAACTTTGAATGTGGCTAAACCCAAGAAAGGTCAAAGTGTTGCCATTTTCGGACTTGGTGCTGTTGGTTTAGCTGCTGCAGAAGGTGCTAGAATCGCTGGTGCTTCTAGGATCATCGGTGTTGATCTTAACTCTCAAAGATTCGACCAAGGTATTCAAAAAGATGATAGTCCTTTTTGACTATGCTCTTCTCTAATCTCCTCTCACTTACATTGAGTTTGATATGTTATTTGCAGCTAAGGAATTCGGTGTGACCGAGTTTGTGAACCCGAGAGACCATGACAAACCAGTTCAACAGGTGATCGCTGAGATGACGAATGGAGGAGTGGACAGGAGTGTGGAGTGCACTGGAAGTGTTCAGGCCATGATTCAAGCATTTGAATGTGTTCATGATGTAATCTTCCCTTCACATCAATTCGGACCAAACCATTGATAACTTACATTATGCATATCTGAACATATACATATGATGTTGTTTCAGGGTTGGGGTGTTGCGGTGCTGGTCGGTGTGCCAAGCAAAGACGATGCCTTCAAGACTCATCCGATGAATTTCTTGAATGAGAGGACTCTTAAGGGTACTTTCTTCGGGAACTACAAACCCAAAACTGACATTCCCGGGGTTGTAGAAAAGTACATGAACAAGGTAATGAGAAGCTTAGATCTTCTGATGCCAACTTTGAATATTTATCAATGTTCTGATGATTTTTATGGCATAGGAGCTGGAGCTTGAGAAATTCATCACCCATACATTGCCATTCTCGGAGATCAACAAGGCCTTTGATTACATGTTGAAGGGAGAGAGTATTCGTTGCATCATCACCATGGGTGCTTGAAGCCATTCTGTTGCCGATGATGTCTACTTTGTGTTTTACTTCCCTTTATGCACCCACAGCAATAAAAGAAGACATCTCTATCGCTTCTGGCTTTCTTGTCTGTCTTAAGTTAGTCGTTGTCCAGTCTAATCTATTACGTATCGTTGTAATATCTCATTCTATTGAGATTTTAATATAAAGTAAAAGACATTCCTTTTTATTGTGTTCTCAACATTCAGAGTGCAAGCGGACTAACCGCAGTGACTCGAAAGCCGTTTCGAGTCGCCATTCTCTTTGCTTCTTGCTCAAAGGTCTTCCTTTGCCGGCCTTTTCTCGGTTTACTCTTGTGTCTGCTATTCCCCAAATGCAGCTTTTGGCTTCCACATCGAAAGAAATCAGTCTGAAAATACCATCACCTTCGGTCTCAGTGTCCTCGTTAGTGTACCTCACGTACATCGGTCTGTCCTTATACCGATCAAGATCCTGCGGAATTCGTACTACCCTTTCAACACCAGGAGATGAAACCTGTACCCAAAGGTTCAAGATTTGTTGAATCAATGAACCAAAACCCATGAGATAAAATTGATGTGAAAGGAATTCAAACGCTAACTAAATAACTAACCTCTAAAGAGATATTGTCCGGTATAGACTTGGCGAGTCCAGCTTCAGCCAGTTTTGCTCTATAGATTGTTGAATATGCTTCAATGTCTTCCATTGTTGGTGAACCAAACTTGTTAGTGAGCCGCTCGATTCGCACTTGTATGGTTGAATTTGGCAGTGTCTTGAAGGCATAAATGCCTAAATCACCATCAAAAGACTCACAAACTTTCTCAGCTAATGCCAATGCTTCTTTATCCCATAATGTTCCAGCAAGTTTAATGCCTCCTCCACCACCTCCATCTCCAGCCTTCAGATAGAATTAATCCATAGATGAGAGATGCAAAAAGTATTTATCTTTTACTAATCTCTCAAATTAGATATAAGTAAGACTTACATAGAGTTCCTCCTCGCTCTCATCGAACTCAAAGTCATCGTCTTCGTCGTATTCATCATCCAGTAGCAACTCTGCAGAACCAAGAACGTCACCAGAAAAGTGTTGATTGTAAAATCCAGCGAATGAGAATTATAAGATTACATCTAGAAAACCAAAAAAGGAACCAAAACGCACCGTCTTGAATCTCTTCGGGAAGAACTAGCTCCTCTTCTTCTTCTTCTTCATCAAAGATCAATTCTTCGACTTTGTTCGGTCTCTGTTCGACAGTACTCGTTTTATTCTTCTTCTTCGCGTGAGTCTTGAAGGTAGAGTTTGGAGTCCGACGAAACGGCGTCGCAGGAAATCCAAAATGAAGACTCGTCGTCGAACGGAAACGATTGACAGCGAAAAGATTGCTTATGCTAAAAGCAGGCAAAACTGAAATTCCGCGAGAAGACTGATTCGGTCGGAAACGACAAATCGAATCCATCTTCTCCGGCAAGTGAGAAAGAAGAAGAAGAAGAAGAAGAAGAAGAAGAAAATTTTGCGGCTAAAATACTTTGGTTCTCGTCACTAAAATCAATTTTCTCGGTTCGGTTCACCGGTTCCGGTTCTCTAGAATAAATAAAGTTGACTTTTATGTCCAACGCGGCAACGCCCAACGGAATAACATAAGCTGGTCAATGGGAAACAAAAACACTTTGCTTTTAAAAGCTACATCTTCCTGTAAATTCTGCATTTGTCTTTCATTCCTTTATCCCCTCATGATTACATTGTTTCTGGGATTCGTATACAGGTTTCCAGCTGATAAAACAAAAAACAAAAGAACATAACCAACCCACATTTGGTTGGTGAAAGAAGAGTAATTTTGTACCAAACCAAAGCCAAAAGAATTCACAGGGAAGAGAGAGCGGTTTTATGCGGTGGTGATGAAGTGGTGGTGGTGGAAGAATTATTGGTAGCGTTCGTCTCACCCCAATGCCAAAGCATACTCTCCCAAAAACAGAAATTTTCGAAACAAGTCTTAAGTCTCTCATCTTTGATCTTTATCTTCCAGTGTCCATCTTTGTAGTTCCCTTTCTCTGCTTGTCTCCGATCCCATTCAAGTTGCGCCTTCTGTTTCGATCTCAGAAGACAGAACTTGTGCAAGTTCTCAGGCATTGCGTCGTGCACTCTCCACCATGTTTTATGTGCTTCGTCACTTGCGAATTCCTGGAATATATCGACATTCCAGTTGCAATCATAGTCTCTGAAGCATAACCAGGGTTTGTTATAACCAAGGTAATGAAGAACGTAGAGGATAGGAGGATCAGCTCCAAATAGACTCGTCTTCATTTTCTTTATCTCAGGTTCGTCTCCTTCCCAGAAATGCTTCAAGAAATTCATGTGTTTCGGGATGCGATGCCACCATGTGAATATCTCGTTAAGGTAACCTTGGTCTCCTCCGTTGTAAGACACAACTTCATTAATGTTGTCCATTAGTAACTGGAATGTTGAATTAGATGGCTCAACCACCATTAGACCGGAGTTGAAGAGCGTAGCATTGTTTCCAGTTGCTGATATCTCAGGGAACTCGAAGAGGAAATCAATGTTTCTCAGGATAAGCATATCTGCATCGATGAAGATGATCTTACTGTATTCAGTCAATTGCCAAAGACGGAACTTGCTGTAGTTCCATTCGTTGTATGCATTTGGTATAGCATTCGGGTTCCTGATTCTTTGAAACATGTGAATCTTCCATCCAGCAGCTACCAAGCCACTTTTATGGTATTCGCTTATCGTATCATCAACAAGTATGACCAGATCACGAGTAGAGCCTGACATTCGAATGCTCTGCGCAGCTGCAATGGCTCCACAGACATAAAATTGAGCAGAGTGCAAGATAGTTGCATAAGCTTCTTTCTTTGCACTTGCGGAGTAGAAATTATCTGCAATTGAAATAAACATAATCAGCTTAGGATGGGAGATGCTAAACTAGGTTAGACAGAAGACGAATAAACTTGCTACTAACCTTTAGCTTGAAGAGGAACAGAAAGTTCACAGGAACCAACAGGAAGCTGTAACTTTTGTCTTAGCTGGTGCAGGTTAGGCTTATACAGCCATATATTTTCTTGACGGGCAACAAGTTCTTGACCGGTAAAAAGATTCGGGATTGGAAAGCAATCAGATACCAAAATCACATGAACATCATGAAGCCCTTTAGAAGAAGCCGCCACTCGAGCTGCAGCAAGTTGTAAATGCAATCGAGCCACATCTCTTGACCATTTTCCTGATTTGTCACACGGAAGCTTGGCAATGACAAGATCGATGCGAGGCTTGCCAGGAACTTGAATCAAAGGAAGAGAAGGACAAGTAGGGACTTCGAATTCTTCTACTTCGTCAATCCATTCCGGGTATAGAGATTCCCATGTAATATTCTTTGCAGCATAGTCTAGATGCAAAGCTACATGATCACAGTCAGATTTCATAACCTCCTTGAACCGATCAATCTCGTTATCGTGAAGATTTATAAGGCCAATTCCTTGATACTCGCTTCTACCAAATAAGTGCTTCTCAACAAGACTTGACACATGGTTCCAGTTGATCTCAGCTGTAGCTACATAGCGAGGATCGGTAGTAACACCAAAACTAGTTGGAATTTCAGCAATTTGTAGCGGTGGATAACGAAAACGGTAGATGGTGAACAAAGCTCCAAGCATAATACAAATCAACACAAGTTTCAGAGTATTGAACTTGACACCCTTTTCAATTCTTTGAAATCTCCTCCTACTTGACTTCTCACTACACAAGACCAAAAAAACGAAGGAGTGTCAATCCAACAGAATGATAAACAGAGATCGCTTGTGAAACGCATTCCTGAATCAAAATCAAAATCGAAGATCTGATTTCCAGAAAAGTCAACCATGTGTGTGAAGCTACTAAGTTAAACTAACAATATAGTACACAGTGTTCGTCAAACTCGAGAAACAAATGAAGACGAAGAAGATGAAGACTAACTTTGAAAACGAGAGTCGATGTCTTGACTCCATGGGACTTGAGGAAGGTATCATCGTCTCCGTAAGATCAGGGTCGGTTTCGAGAATTTCATTATCGCCTTATAACATGAGACGAGACATTTTAGGGATTTTGAAATGAAAAAGAAAATATTATAGATTTTGGACGGAGGCTCGGCATGAAACGGTGCGTGTTAACTAAATGAGTGATCGAACCGAGTCTTTTGCGAAACGAGCCCTTACTTATTTAAGTATTTCTTATTTGAAACCTAATCTAAGTTTTCGACAATTAAACCCTTTTTCTGAACGATGTTAATTAAAACGCTGTCGTTGCGGTGAAGCGAAACGAATTCTTGTCATCGACAAAACTGGGTTTAATTAATCAAAAATTAGTTAGTGGATAAAAAGGAAACACCCAATAGAATAGGGTTTATTTGCAATAAACTCATTTCTTCGTGGAGAGTCTCATTGCTTTCGTTTCTCGATTAAGGAAGATCTGAAAGACTGAAACGAAATCTCCAGGGCCTTCGTTGTCAAGAGTAGTCGACGAGATCATTCTCACCGTAGATCTGATCGAATAAGGTAATCAATCGTAGAGGAATTTTGCGGTGGAACGATGGTTTTGGTTACGTCTGTGCGTGATTACATCAACCGGATGCTTCAGGATATCTCCGGCATGAAGGTTCTCATACTCGACTCCGAAACGGTAAACTTAGATTCTCGTCTTCTTCGATTACTAATCTTCTCTGATTTTTGTATATCTGGAATCGTGATTCATAATTTCCCTCGGAGCCGAAAAAATTAGGCACATCTTCGTGATTACATATTTTTTGGATTAATCGTTGAATTTGCAGGTTAGCAATGTAAGCATTGTGTATTCACAGTCAGAGCTGCTTCAGAAAGAAGTTTTTCTTGTGGAGATGATAGATTCAATCTCTGTGTCAAAAGAATCGATGTCGCATCTGAAAGCTGTTTATTTCATCCGTCCAACTTCAGAGAATATTCAGAAACTACGTTACCAGCTTGCCAATCCTAGATTTGGAGAGTACCATTTATGTATGTTTTTTCATCTTCTAACTAATTCGAGTTTATCATTGTTCACTAGTTATAGAGATTTTGATTTTGTTTTCTGATGAATCTTTCAGTTTTCTCCAATCTGTTAAAGGATACTCAGATTCATATTTTAGCTGATTCCGACGAGCATGAGGTTGTACAGCAAGTTCAGGTATTCCTTCATGATGTTTTTGAATAGGAGACTGATGCTAAAAGAATGTTTCGTAGCATATTAATGGATCGGTATAAGTATAGATTTTAAGCTGTCTCTGAGAAGTTGCTTGGTTTGTGATGAAACGGCCATACTTGTTTAGCTTAGTATTCCCCCTAGTTTTCTGATTTAAACCTATATTGTTGTTGTAGTACACTTGACGTAGTAGTATCTTGTTTAACACACTATTTTGGTTTCTATATCGCAGGAGTATTATGCAGACTTTGTTGCTGGTGATCCATATCATTTCACATTGAATATGGCATCGAACCACCTATATATGATCCCAGCAGTTGTCGATCCCTCTGGTTTGCAGCGCTTCTCTGATCGGGTTGTTGATGGAATTGCGGCAGTGTTTCTGGCGTTGAAACGGAGACCTGTCATCAGATATCAAAGGACCTCTGATACTGCGAAAAGGATTGCACAGGAAACAGCTGTAAGTGAAGTTGTTTGACAAGCTCTCGAAAAGTTATTTGTTCCCGCTATAATTTCCATGCATGTGATGGAACTAATTCCCACTTGTGTGTAACTATTAAACAGTCTGAAATTTCCTTTTTCTTGTAAGTTATTTAAAAGACACTTTTATGTTTCAGAAATTGATGTATCAGCATGAAAGCGCTCTTTTTGACTTTAGACGGACTGAAAGCTCTCCGTTGCTACTTGTAATTGACAGAAGAGATGACCCGGTTACCCCATTGCTGAATCAGTGGACATATCAGGTTGACTTGACTAAATAAAATTATTGTGCTACTCTGTGGTATAAGATGTGCATCCAGATGTCTTGCTTTCTTGTAAGAATACGACTTACTGATAAACGAGATTTGCTGTAGGCAATGGTGCACGAACTCATAGGACTTCAAGATAATAAAGTGGACTTGAAAGCCATTGGAAGTCTTCCAAAAGATCAGCAAGTGGTTAGTTTTCTCCAATGCCATATTTGTTAGTTGAGAACCTGATATCTAATACGTCTCTTTACCTGGCAGGAGGTGGTTTTATCATCAGAACAAGATGCATTTTTCAAATCTAACATGTATGAAAATTTTGGGGATATTGGAATGAACATCAAGCGAATGGTAGATGACTTTCAGCAGGTGGCCAAGAGTAACCAAAATATCCAGACAGTAGGTACAAATATGGCTAGTCTTAAACTATTCTCTGCAAAGACTTTTATAATACAGTTTCTGGTGTTAGTGACAATTATAATCTGTGAATTCGTTGGTTTTACAGAGGATATGGCCAGATTTGTTGACAACTACCCTGAGTACAAAAAGATGCAAGGCAACGTTTCAAAGCATGTAACTCTGGTTACTGAAATGAGCAAGCTAGTTGAAGCTAGGAAACTGATGCTGGTTTCACAAACAGAGCAGGACTTGGCTTGCAATGGTGGCCAAGGAGCTGCATATGAGGTAAGGAATATCTGTGGTGAATATTCACGTGTAGTTGCATATATTAAAAATAGCTATACAGAGAAGTAGCAACCTGCAGAAGGTCGTCCTGAATAATTCGGCATTCAGTACCTGTCACATTTTGCACTGGAGTCCCATACAAATGTATCCGCAGAATCCTAATCAATAAAAGATCATTATAGCTAAATATGCAACGTTGTGCAGACTCTGCTGTAAGCACAGAGCTCTGACTCTCTTTTCATGGTTATCTGCAGGCAGTTACGGATCTCTTAAATAATGAAAGTGTGTCTGACATCGACCGCCTGCGTTTGGTAATGCTATATGCTTTGCGCTATGAGAAAGAAAACCCTGTTCAGTTGATGCAACTGTTCAACAAATTGGCTTCACGGTCTCCCAAATACAAACCAGGGGTACAGTCAGACTATATCATCTGTTTCCTTTCAGTTTAAATTGCATTTCCTGTGGCTTTATTCTTCTTCATCTCCTTTAAGGTGGTTTATGATCTGTCATTCTGCTACTACTAGTTAACCTATTTGGAATTCCGTCCTTGGTGGTTTTACTTTCGTTTTTTCTGAATAAGATCAAGTACTCTCTAATCATGTTCGTTTCATAACTTTCTGGATTCCATGCAACTGCAGCTAGTTCAGTTTCTCTTGAAACAAGCCGGTGTGGAGAAGCGTACTGGGGATCTATTTGGAAACAGAGATCTTTTGAATATAGCACGAAACATGGCTCGTGGACTTAAGGTCTGTATCTGAGATTACACCTCTCCAGGAACATTCTGTATCTCCCTATATATACTTCATGTTACTGACTTGTTGAAATATATAGGGGGTTGAGAATGTGTACACTCAACATCAGCCTCTTCTGTTTCAAACAATGGAGAGCATAACCAGAGGGAGATTACGAGATGTGGATTACCCATTTGTTGGAGATCACTTTCAACAGGGACGGTATGTGCCACTAACTTTTTTCAATTTCTTAAAACTGGTCATTTGTTTGATAGTTACGGATTTTCTGCCACACGTAAAACTTACATAAACAAATCAAAAACTGCATAATTTCTGGATAAGCAGGCCACAAGAGGTGGTTATTTTTATGGTTGGTGGAACAACATATGAGGAATCACGCTCTGTTGCTCTACAGAATGCCACCAACTCCGGGATTCGGTTTATTCTCGGTGGCACCGCAGTCCTTAATTCCAAGAGGTACGTTCAAGTAAAAATTCTACTAAACCGGGTAATGTTGAGTCATAGAAGGCCCAAACCGAAATTGGTGTTTGAATGAATCATATACTAGGAATCCATTTGGTTTCCAAAAGTTCATAAAAAAAAGTGTATCATATGAGAAGCTGAAAAGTGATTTGATTGTCAGATTTCTTAAGGACTTGGAAGAAGCACAAAGGATATCAAGATCAGGTAGCCATATGGTGTGAAAATCCAAGAGAGAGATTTGTAAATTATTAAGTCTTAAGATCCTTCCGTATGATATGGAGAGCATAGAAGAAAGGAACCAAATCATCATTTTGGAGAGACAAATGAAAGAAAGAAGACAGACAGATTTTGTGGTCAGGTTCATCGAATCTTTCGTATACATTGATGATTACCCCCACTAGAGAGATCTAATTTTTGGGGTTTGTGTGTGTATTCATCGTGGTACAGTTTAATTGGACCGTTGCTTCGTACACAGATGGCTAATCAAGAAATGTAAAACTTGAGGAAATTTTACTATCTAAATTGCAATTTGGATAAAAACCAGAGAGATTATGATAACAATTTAATTTAGATAAAAACCAGAGATATTTCAAAAAAAAATTGTTTATTATCACTCTTGAAAAACAAAATCATTTGTGGAATTTATGGAACTATTTCACGAATAAAAGAACTCTTATATTCCCTATGTTTCTAGAAGATTGATTTTCTAGAGATTTTACATTTTTTAAGAAATAATTATTGTTTAAATATTTTTTAATAAACTATTTTTTAATAAATTATGAACCAATAGTAATCTGAAACAGTTAATCATTTACTAAAATCAATTAATTAAAAATAAAAAAAATTTAGAAAATTAATTTTTTGTGAAACAAACTCAAAACACTATAACATCAAACTTCAAGGAAAGGAGGGAGTACTATAATATTGACACTGACGTCAATCAAAGTAGTACCGATTTGGGAAAAAAGAATAAGAAAATAGCTATTTTGAGTATATGGTGGGAGTATCTCTGTAGCTCGGCTGGCTGCTAGTATTGCCGTTGGATTTCTCAACTGTCGTAATATGATTGATGTGAGAGCGAAGCTGACAGACACATCTCTCTGCCTCTTCTCTGGAAGCATTCTTACTTCTTGTCCTTTCACACTTCCCAAATTTCGCAGAACCCCCCTTTAAAAACCATATATTTACAATACATTCCAAACATTTTCTTAGCTTTACTTTTACATCCAAATTTCATAGTGTTAACAAAACGATTGTGTATTTAATCCCTATCAAGTTGGATTTTGAGGGATTTAAATTTTGAAGTCAACAACTAACACGGTCTTATTCTCGAGAAATATTCTTCTTGTCGTAACTTTTGCTCTAGTTTTATTAAAATGTCAAATCAGTAATAAAAACAGTTAAAGAATTGAGGAGCTCGAGACGATTTCTTCACATACTTCTCTTTCTTTCTGCTTAGCTCTTAAGCAGTCTCTGACTGTCCATTTCATATCCAATTTTATACTAGTATTTGATTATTCTAGATCCTTCTCTTTTTTCTCCGATCCCTTCATTTTAATTTTTTTTCTCCTCTCTTTGATTATTATTCAATTCAATGACGTATTTAACTAGATAACGCATAACTTCTTAGTTAATTAGTTATCTGACTTTTTGAGTTTTGATTACTGTGTGCTTAGCCGAAGTTTCTAGCAAACTCCCTCGGATTTAAACTCGAAAGAATAAAGCGTGACGAAATAGATAAGACAAAACAAACAAAAAAAAGATTACTTATCAAAGTACATATGGTTGATAGTGATGGTTTGGTTATTAATTAATTACAGTTTTAACTTTAGATATTTTATCTGAGGTCTTATACACCTCATCGTTCTTATTACACTCCCTCCGTTTCGTTTTATTTGTCATTTTAGAATTAAAATTTTGTTTCATTATAGTTGTCGTTTTAGGTTTTCGATGTAAATGTTTGGTGAAAATTCCAGTTTTATCTATACTGTTTTAATGTTTCGGCCAATGAATTTTTTTATAAATATTAATAAAGGATAAAACAGAAAATTTAATGCTTTTCTTAATTTGTATGAAAAAACCTTAAACGATAACTAAAACGAAACGGAAGAGTATGATTCTGATTTTTAGATATATGGGAAACAACTACCAATTGGTTTCATTTTTCAACAATTAATACAATATGCATTTCATGCTACAAGGAAAATTTATCATCCGAACTTTCATGAAAAGTCACTGCTGGAGGGTTTCATGTTGAACATGTAATTCATTACATTTCTTTTGAGTTGATTTATCTGAAAGGAAAGTCTATCTAAAATAATCCAAATAGAATTATTATTTTTCTAAAACTAAATGTTCTTTATATATACTATTATTTTTCATGATTATGATAAATTGTATCAAATTATCTTCGGTATAATGTATTATTAACTAATCAAAACTATAACAAGAAGAAAAACGTCATTCATTTTTTAAAACAGATAACAAACTATTTAAGAAAATCTCTATTCACCTAAAATGATCTCGACTATTCTATCATTTCATTTTCATAAACCACTTGTTGTGTGAGCAAAGAAGAGACTCGAAAGAGTAAGAGTAGAAAAGAGATTCAAGAAAGTGATTTTCTTTATTGATTTCGAAATAAAACTTCTTTATTTTTCGAATAAGGATATGTATTATTTCCCCTTTTCTCGGTTATTTAACTTCTATATCTGAGTTAATCTTTTATTTTCTTCATTTAGATCAGTGTCAAGATCTCAGATCGACTTGCGACTCGTAGGCCGGTCTCGCGGTTGTCTTAGTTGGTTCAGTGTATTCTTAGTTTAACTAGGTCAATCGGAGGGTGCTAAACCATTGTTCTATACACATGTTAATTAGACTCTCTTATGTTTTGTTTTCAAAATTGTTGATCGAAATATTCAGCACTATGATTCGTGTAAACCTTCAACTAAAAAGAACCATGGCCCATAGGAGAGAAATTAAATTAATTTATTCGACTAGTTCAACCGTTTCAAGGGAAGGTAGTCCTCGTATCAAGAATACTATCCAACATTTTCAATAGAACCTTAAACCAAAAGAGCTTTATATACTAAAATGGACATAATTTTTTCTAACTAAAATGGACATTTGCATCACGACAAAAACATATATATTATATATCCATCGGCTGTTGATACAAGTAGAAGATGCAATATAGATAGCATCAGAAAAAACCCTGACAACAAGCCCCACATTTTTTTTGGCAATTCAAAAATTTCAAGAACACCACCCAAAAAAGGAATAATCATAAGAAGCAACAAACAAAAAACAACTCCGATGTTTTAAATTTTTTAAAAATTGACAAAACAACAAGAAAAAACGTTGCTTAAACCTCTCAGAAAATAGGAAAACAACACTTAGTTTTCGGACCACCACCACTCACTGTCCAACTCCTAGCTTGACGTTTTCCTTCACCACCATCATCAAACACAGACCACGACCAAGACCCTTTCTTGCAACCAGAGACTCTTCGACGATTCTCAGGTAGCCACTTGGACTGCATGTATCTTGAAGTCCTCCATGGTGGTCTAGACATTCCTTCTTTCTCCATCGACTTTTTCATCTCACCACAAACCAACGAAACAACTCTTCTTAGTCTCCCCTCCGTCGCCACGAACACTCTCGGAAGCATCTCAGTTATGTCTTTGTAAGCTTGTGTCTGTTTGGCTAGCTCAAACTGAGATTTGAAGTCAAGATCAATTATCACACGTTTCAGCTTGCTTACGCCATCACCGTCGCGACCATCCTTGACCATGACGTCAATGTACTCGTACTTCCTGGAGCACCTAAACACTCTACACCCTGTAACAACATTTTCACAAACAAAACCCACAAATAAATAACGTATCACAAAACCCAAAAAGTGAGCAAGTAGAGACTTTGTCACTGTTTTCTAATTTCTTATAGTAAAGGAAAAGGACTAAAAGTCTTCCAACTTTTACAAAGGTTGTTTTATATGGATATTTCTAGATATTCATATATTTATATATATATATATGTTTAACAAAAAAAAAATATATATATATATATATATGTATCTTTCTTTGCAAGTGTGTTAGATTATTATTTACCTTCACTAAGATCAAATGAAGAGTCCCATGAGGTTTTGGAAAGAGAAGCATCGTAGCCATCAGATCTGAGTTTAGAGACAATTTTGTTCATCACATCTCGCTTCTCATCGTCTCCTTCATATGATAGCCTTCCTCTCTTCATAAACGACTTTATCTTGTCTTCCATCTCCTTCTCTTCTTCTCCTTTTGCCCTAAGAATCTCCTGTAAAAATATTTCTAGGTTTAAATTTTTTTTATCAAGAAAAAAGAAGAGAAAAATGCATTTGATGAAAAGAGACCTCAAGAGTGATAAGAACCGTTGGAGAAGTCTCAAGATGATCGGAGACAGTGATCGGAGATGATTCAATATAATCAAGCACAAGCTTCTCTAAATCTTCTTCTCCCAAGCTTCCCATCTCAAATATTCTCTCACCTGTCTCTTCCTATTCTTCTAGGTTTTTTTTTTTTAGAAAAAGTTGTGAGGGCAAGAATGATTTTTAGTCGAGTCTCTTTATGAATATAAGTGAGTGACGTGTGTCATAATCTTATCCATTTAATTTGCCTTATTAAATGAACTGTTTAATATTCGTTCACTAATTTTTTTGAATTTAATGTTAAATTATATTCAAAAGCAAAATAAACGTTTTTTACAACTTAATGCGATACAATTCGAATCATTTTTAAGACATTAAAAAGCAAACAGAGTCTTCTCTAGATCCTTGATGCAAACCCTTGTTTGAAAAATTGCTAGGCGCTAGTCGGGCGCTCGGCATGGGCCTAGCGATTAATCGGAAAATCGGATTAAAATCGGAGATTAATCGGAGATTAGTTTTAGGGTTATTTTAATATTTTTAAAATATATTAATCCAATATTATAAAAATTTATGATTTTTATTACAAATTTATGATTTTTATTAAAATTTGAAAACAAGTTATTGTAAAACATCACAAACTCTCCATTCAAATGATTGAATAACAAAAATAAAAAGTTTTTTTATACTTGCAATCTAAAAAATAATCGGGGTATATAAGATTAGGCGGGAAGTAATCGGATTAGGCGGAGAATAATCGAGTTACTGATTTTTTAGGGGATTAGTCATTAATCGAGGCGGATAGGGTGGGCCTAGCGATTAAGCGGAGAGTAATCGGGGCTAGGCGGGGATTTTTAGAACAGGGATGCAAACCAAGTTTGGAGTTGTTGGGGTCGGATTCCATCCTTTAGCGCCGAGCCAGACTTAGAACACTTCGGGAGTCTTTCAGTGATCACCTCGGGGTATCGCATCATTCACCTCGGGATATCCATCTAATCGATTTAGTATACCCGAGCCCATCGCCTCGGGAATACTTTTAACAAGTAGTTTCAAGTACCCGAGCCCTTCGCCTCGGGGATAATTGAACGAGACGTTTCAAGCACCCGAGCCCTACGCCTCGGGGATGTTTGAACGTTACGAGCACTCGAGCTCTTCGCCTCGGGGATACTCGAACAAAACGTTTCAAGCACCCGAGCCCTTCGCCTCGGGAGTTTCTGAGCCCATCGCCTCGGAGACACCCGAACAAGCCATCCTAGAGTGACCGAGCCACTCCTTTCTGTGTACCCGAGCCGATTGCACGAGTTTCTCCGAGTTGAAGTCTTCATCATCGCCCGAGTTAAAGACTTGGTAAATATTCGCTTTCAAAGTACCATTTCCAAGCAAGGTATCATTTCCGAACAAGAAGGATCATTTCCGATATACCCGGAAATGATAAGAGAGAATCTAGAAGGATCGACTCAAATCAGGAAATCTCCCAAAGACTCCGAAAAATAAGGAAACTATCCTAATCCGCGATATTCTGAGCCGACTTCAAGATAAATGGAAATCTTCCGAGAATATCGCTGGAGAGGCGGTTTATCACCCCTATATAAAGAGACTCAAGGCTCAATCAAAGGCAGGCAATATCGCTCTAGAAATTATACTTAAAGCTCTCACAGCACAAACACCTCTTTCTTTTACGATCAAACTCTTGTACGATCAAAATCATCTTTTCACTAATAATATCAAGAACACCATCTTTGGTATCAATCGTTCTGTTGTTCTTTGAGAATTCACGATTATCGTATCCCTAAAATAAAACCCTAGACAAATCTTGATTGTGTTAGTTTCGACTTCCACAGGAGTCCGCTTGAAACTCCTCTCCCTTCCATTGTGCTCAACCGATTACGGACATTTTTATCAATTAACTTGACGAGTATCTCTGTTGGTAAAGGCTGTTCACCGTGTCTCCTTCTATTCCTCTCATTCCATATTGAGTGAATAGAGTTTTGAAACGTGTACCTTAGCAAGAAAGTCTTTGTCTTGTCAAAGCCCTCCCCTTTAATAAGCTTCATGATCTCTTGCCAATGTTCCCAGAACCAATTCTTTCCAAATTGTCTTCAAGTACGGGCACATGAAAAACAGATGCTCTCTTGTTTCTATAGGTACCCCACATAACACACAACTTGAGTTTGCATTCTGCTTCCAAGTCAACATTCTCTCCCCTGTTGCTACTCTGTTTTTAACCACTAGCCATGTGATAAAAGCATATTTTGGAGTTGCAGCTTTGAACCATATCTCTTTGAATCCCTCCATCATTGGTTTCGAAGTGCGGATCTGCGCCCATGTTTCTTTGGTCGAGAAACTTTTACAATAGCTTCTGTTTTTCCCTTTCCATAGGGCCACATCTACCTCATTTCCTCTCAGCTGCATTCTTGCGTTTTTAATTGCTTCTTCAACACAGTTTAGCGCTGCCTGGCGATGTTTTCTCCTTCTAGACATTGCCATCACTTCTCTCACTGTGCTAGATAGAAGGATCCCCAAGTCAACACTGTTTAATATTCGTTCACTAATGTTTGTTGTATATCGCTTTATAGTAGTATGTTTTATTTTAGGGTATATATAACGTGAGTTTGAGTCCTGACTTTTCTTTTCTTTTTCCATTTTCTTCAAAATACAAACAACTTAGCGTTTGATGTCATACGCGACGGTAGAAAAAGTCGTTTCATGTCATTTTCTACTTGTCGTATATACCACATAGTCGATGTTTGAGATAATTATATACGTGGATATTCTAGATAAATCTTCAATCTGGAAGATAATTTTTATTTAATAGTTTTGATGTTTTTAATTTGTTTTTAGAATGTGATATCTAAGTAATAAAGTGAAAGTGAAAGATCATTCTAATTACACAAAAAGTTTTTTTTTTTTCTGAAATAATTGATTATGAGTCTATATTCAAGATATTAGTATTCATGTCCTTCTTTCCTTATCAACTCTGTAAACAAGGATATTGATTATGGCTATTAATAGTCTTTAGAAGGAAAAAAAAAGAAAAGAAAAGATATTCATATTATTTTTCCTTGATTTGGACCGATCCCTCTATCTTTGGTGGGGTAAATCACAAATGTCAACAGAAAACCAAAATGCAAAAACCTCACGAGACTAATGTTTCTTCAATACTTTATCTGTGTCTATTGAATAATCGATCAAAGTAGATATGCACGTCATAGGCTCATAGCATATAATATATAATGTTGATTAAAATGGGCTTACCATCGATCAAACTCATTGTCACATATTTGGAAGCAAGATTATCTCATAATCAATTTTGTCCGTTCAAACTCATTGATGGCTAATCCATATACTAACTTGTTAATAGAATGCGAAGAAGCCACACGCATGTGTATATATATACTGATATACATACTGATCAAGATGATAAAATATTATCATGACGATTGAATCTCTAAGATAATTATAATAATGGAGGAAAAAAAAGAGAGATAATTATAATAATCCCAGTGACGGTAACTAATAATCCAATGATTTAGAACATTTTGATTTGGATGCAATCTAGTCACCTGAAATATAAAATTTACATATGGGGCTATAATAACTCGTAAAATAGTAAATTAGAAGCCTTGTTGTTTAAAATTGCAATTAAAGAAATTAAAACGGGTTTAAAGCGTGTGGACCTTATCTTCTTTGTTTGCATATTTTTTGCTTTGAAATCGAGTCTTACCTCGTTGTTTTCCTAAATGAAATCAGTAAACCGGAAATTGAACACATTAAACCGGACGCCTTCAATAAGTTGAAAATCGAGTTCTATACCCCTCTGACATGATCTTGGTGTCAGAATATCATGTCGGAAATGACTAGAAAAATTTCCCAAATTCATTATTTGAGTACTTAATTTACTAAAAGTAAAACTGAAATGTTAAGAATCATCTAATTCATTAATTTACTAAAAGTAAAACTGAAATGTTTGCTTTTATAGAGAAACAAGTATAAAAGCCTGAATTATCAAAATGTCGTCGAAGCATAGCTATAGGCAGGAATCTTAGCAACCTTCTTCTCCTTCATTACCTTCCTAACTCTCTCAACATCTTTCCACATCCCTTTTAGTGCATACACATTAGCTAAGACCACATAAACACCATCATTCCACGGCTCTAGCTCAACCATGTATGGAGCCACCCACTCAGCCATCTCAACATCCCCAAACTTCTCACACCCACCCATCAAACAACCCCAAACCATCACGTTAGGCTTCATCGGCATCTCTTCCACAACTTTCTTGGCCTCCTTAAGCTGCCCGTCCCGGCTCAGAAGATCAACTATGCATCCGTAATGCGATAATCCCGGTTCTAGATTGAACTCTGACTTCATCATTGCGAAATACGCTTTTCCTTCCTCCACAAGACCTCCATGGACGCAAGCACTAAGGACTCCAACGAACGTGATCTTGTTTGGTCTGACACCGAATTCTCTCATCTGACGGAAGCATTCCAAGGCCTCTAATGTATTCCCGTTAGCTGCATAACCCGTGATCATTGAACTCCATGAGACAACGTTTCTCTGTGGCATCTCCTCGAACACTTGAATCGCGAAATCCATACGCCCGCATTTTCCATACATGTCGATGAGCGAATTCATCATCATGACATCAGACTTCTCTTCGGTCTTAGCTTGTAAAACGCATTTATGCAACTGAAAAGCTAAGTTCAAGTCACCTAATCCTCCACAAGCTGAAGTCACACTCACCATAGTGAAATCATCCGGCTCAAATCCACTCCTTCTCATCTCCATAAACATTTCAACCGCCTCGTTAGCTCGACCCGCGTGATTCAACCCTCCGATAATAGCGTTCCAAGACCCCAGCTTTCTCTCAGGATTTTCATCGAACACGTTACGTGCATTCTCCAATTCCCCTGCTTTACAATACAACGTAATGAATCCACTCTCGCAGAACTCGTCTCCGACGAAACCTAACCTCACGGCGACGGAATGAAGCTGCTTTCCCAACGGAAAATCATGAATCTGAACGGCGGCTTTGATTACAATCGGAAGAGTATATCGATCGGGCAAAACATTTGATCTCACCATACCGAGATACACTTGAACTGAATCGAGAGGAGAATCATGGCGAATGTAAGATCGCATGATGTTGTTCCATAAGAAAGCGATTGGATATTGATCGAGGATGCATGAACGGAAGATATCACCATGGATACGACGGACACGAGCGAGGCTGGTACAATTAGATAACAGAGTAGCTAAGAGCTTGTTTCGATCTTGGGGCGAAAGAGACGTAATCGACGAAGATGATGAGATAGTGACGAAATGATTCAAACGGTGAAAGATCTTTAAGTGATTTGTCCTTTTAGTACCATGAAGCTTGGAGATGAGACCAGAGAAGAACATATGTGTCTTTTGGTTCTTGTCCTGATCCAAAATAATAGCAACAACTCGTAAAACTTAACGTTCTTAAAGTACACAAATTTATAACATTGAAAAAGAAAAATAAGGCTCAAAAGATGTGATATTATGAAGTTGAAAGATTGTACTCGACTAGTTCAGAGACTCGCAACATCATAAATACTGATAATCAAAAGCAAACTGTTTCAACAGATCCAAAATAACAAGGTATATATTGAAATCAAAGATCAGTTACTGAGCTTTTTCATTGTCTTAAGTTCTTGACTTTTAACGCCTACTCCGTTCGAAATTGATCTTGGTTCGACCAGAACCGCCGTCGTCATCCCTTGAAGAGCTACCGCCGCCTCCACTTGCTCTCATAGTTCCTCCAGACCCGATTTTGTCCAAAGGTTTCTTACCTTTCTTCAAATCAGAAACCCACCTGTCAAGACCGAAAGGATCTTGTTCCTCTTCCTTCTCAAACTCAACAGGGCGTTCTCTCTTACTACCCGCCCTCTCGGAAGCCCCTGTGAAAGCTTTGTCAGGTTTAAACCTCTCAGTGTTCTTGATCTTATCGAGCTGCTCATCTGCGTTTCCATACATTTCTTCATCGTTATCCTTCTTTGGCTTGTACAGCGTTGAAAGAGTGGGTTGTGCAGTGAACAAGCCTTTGTCATATACATTGTATTGGTCATCAGTAGCGAACCCAGAGTCCATTCCTTTCTCCTGGTTAAACAGCCTTTGATCATACATAACTTCACCACCTTTTCCTCCAGTCGATGCCATTCCAAGAGCAACTTTCTCACTGATATCACGGTCTCTGTCTCTAGTGATTTTGCTCTTCTTCCCCATGGCAGCATCTTTAGCTTCCAACCTTCTCTCCCTCTCTCTTTCCCTGCGGCGCTCTTCTCGGATCTTCTCTCTCTGAATCCGTGCTTCCCTTTCCTCCCTACTCTCTTTCGGCTCTTCCCTTTCTCTATCCCTTACTCTCTCCTGGTCATAGTTGTCATAATCACCTCTTGGGTCAACACTTTCACTCCTACCCCTGTCAGATGAGACAGGCATACTCACAGCAGCACCAGTTCTTTCGGAGCGAGCTTTTTGGGCAAGAGCCCTCAATTCCTGCTCTTTCCTTTCCTTCTCCTTCATCACCATCTCTTTTTGCACCTTGGAACGCATTGAAACAGCCTCTCTAGCTTTTTGCTCAGCTACATAGAGGGCCTCTGATAACTTGGCAAAGTTATCATTGATCTGAACGTCTTGTAGGCCTCTTCCATCAGCAGCTAGACGTTTATCAAGAGGGATTGTGTAACCTTTCGGATTCTTCCAATTGGAGATACAAGGAGGGATTTTCCAGTCTTGCTGGTCCTTGACGGTAACAGGCCTAGGCGGTGAATGCATGACCGGAACAGGCGGAGAACCAGAAGCCTTTGGGACTCTCTTGTGCTTGAACTTTGGTGGATCAAGTGGATCTACAGGCATCTCCACCATCCTAATGATCCTCTCTTTAGCACCGGAATTGAAGGCAGAGGATTGCTGGGATGGCTTATATTTAATGTACTGTGAGTCTCCCGATTGCCTTGCTATATTACTAGGCTGAGCTGCACTCAGTCTCACATTCACAATCTTCTCAATGGCAGCTTTGGTTTCTTCAGCAGTCTCCTGGATCTGCTTCTGCAATTCTTCCTCTTCGTCCACCACCGCATCCAAGTCTCCCTCGTTTTTCAGTATCTTAGGAATAATATCCTTATGCTGAGAGTAAACAATCTTCTTAGAGTTCTCATTCTGCCTCACAATAGCGTCAAAGACCACGTTTCCCTGAGCATCGACAGTAACAGGGAGAGTCTTGGCTCCAGGCTTATTGGATTTATTCCTACCCATACCAAGAGGATACTGAGGAAGATGAATCTCCGGGAAAGCACCACCATCTCCAAAATCCTCGGGATTCTTGGGACGTAAACCTTGACGATTCAGGTAAGCAGGCACGGGTTTAAATTTGATACTGGAGGATTTTACAGTCTCGGATTCAGTGACACGGTTTTTGAACCATGGATCGTTAGAATGATCATAAAACGTGGTAGTGGTTGATTTGGGCGCTGGGAGATCATTAAGAGACTTCATACTCTAAATCAAGATTTTCAGCAATCGCAACCTGCAAACAAGAACAATAACAACAACAACAACCATCAGAACATACCTAGTCCGTAATTACAACTACAAGCTTCTGATAGTAAACTCAGAGATCCTCCGAAATTAGGGTTTCTAGCGATAAACTCGACGCAACCATTCTAGATCCCCAATAAATCCCGATTAAAATCTGGGTTGAATTCACTACAATAGAACGGAAACAAGTAGGGTTTAGGAATCGCTCAACAGAAACCTAAAAAAAAAACAGCAGAAAACGAAAACAACAGGAGGGAGAGCAAAAAGCAGAATTGAATCTGAGAAATCGAAGAAGCTAACCTCGGAGGAAACTAATCGACGGGAAGAGGGATTCTGAGAAAGATGGAACGATGTGCGACGCGGCGCAGAGCGATGGAGAACAACCAACGGAGGTGAAGCTTCTTTCTGGGGAAAGAAAGAAATCAGGCGTGAAGCCTTTCTAGGGTTGATAGGGAAAAAAAAAAAAAGGAACCAATTGTTTTATTTTATACGCAGTGTGTTAATAAGTCGGTCATAAAAAGACTATAATACCTAAAAGAATATCGTCGCCTGAGAGATTCGAACTCTCGCGGGCAGAGCCCATGTACTTAGCAGGCACACGCCTTAACCACTCGGCCAAAGCGACTTCTTGTTACGTATGTGACCAATATTATATATGTATGTATGTATGTATGTATGTTCGTATGTATGTATGTATGTATGTATGTATGTATGTATGTATGTATGTATGTATGTATGACTACAGTGGTTGGCATTTTGATATATGATTCTGTGCATCGCATAATTTCTTGCATTGTCTTTAGATTTCTATTTTTCTTAATGAAATTTCGGTCTCAAACACAAACATATTTTTGTTACAAATATTGAATTCTAAGTAAAAAAAAACCTATGAGAATTTAGTGTTGATATAGCTCAACCAGACCCGTCTCTACCCCATGACAACATAGACATTTGTCATGTGTCCAATGTCATTTTTCAAAAATTTAGTGAAGAAAAATGGTCCAATTTTTTTTTAAAAAAAATTTTATTAAGAGAGTTTTTTTTTTTTTTTTTTAGTTTTACCAAAGATCCTTTATAGATTAAGACGGTACTGAGTTCAACTGGCGTACTATTCAACCACTTGGAAGGGGGAAGTCGAAAAGTTCAGAATTCAAGCACCGGCGATGGAAAAAAACTCTAGTTACGCTTTGGTTCGGCTACAAAAAATGATGGGCTATAGGCTATCAGAACTTAAGCAAGTGTAAGTTTCATATCAACAAACTTTCTTCTCTTTTCGAACAATATAAGATTGATGGCTTTTGTTTGATATATATTTAATGAATCAATTTATGTTTTCTTCTAATCAACAACCAATTTGTTTGATATAGGGTAAACAAACAAAAATGATACATGAATGAACTACCTAGGCGATGTAAATAACGTCTATGAGAGACTTAAATGTAGGGTAAGAAAGATTTATTAAACATATACGTGGGATAATGGGAAGATTAATGGTTTTGCTTCTATGGAAACAACGGCATGGTAGCTCCCAGTTTTGGTGGACAACTTGGCGTGGTTGTATTCGGCTTATCCTAACGACAAATTAAGGTCCTTCCATTACACAACTCAAAACTCGGAGTATACTTGAGTTTCATATGCATACAATTTTCATTAATTTCTGATTTATACATAGTAATTCATATATGTTTAACCCAAAAAAAAAAAACATACATTACAGTATATAAAATGGGATCGAAATATATACTAATTAAGATCAAGTGAATCAGCTTATATTTGAGATAGGAAAAAACAAATAAAGACCGTGCTCGTGGGTGGAACCTCCGTTGACCGCGGATCCCAATAGAATGGCCTTTCCCTACGGAATAGTTAAATACTTAAATGCATTACTAATTAACGTAACAATTAATATTAGTTCAAATCAATGTACGATGATTATGAAGCCGGTGTTGATTGATGTTTTCGTCGAGAAGACTCACGCAATACTTAGTTGATTTAAAAAAATTTAGAAAGGTATTAATTTCCCGATCGTAGGATTGCGTATGAAAAAATGTTTTGTTCAAACATAAAATAAAGTTCGTTTTTAAAAGATTAAAATGAATAAAGAAGGTTTTAAATCTACATCGTTGGATTTGCATATGAGTTTACATGTTAAATTAAGGGTCAAGTCATTAATTATGTCTGACTAATGCAAAAAAAGTCAAACAAGAGTAAATGATAAAGAATGCTTAACCTGCGAATTCGTTTTGGTAAAACGATAACATTTTACTTCTCTGTTATACAAATTGTTTTTGAGCTTTTTTATCCATATACTTTTTCAGTAGGGAAATGAGTTTTTTTTTTTCTCATCAAATGAATATTTTCTAAACACTGCATTGTACTTGTAAAGTTGTAATTCTCATTCATTGTAAACTATAATTCAAACTGAAAAAGTTGGTTATATATATGAAGCTATAACAAGGAAATTTTGTGAATTAAATACAGCGGGTGATTATAAATACCAAGTTGAAAAGATTCCATATATGCCAACTAACAAACCATCTGAGATTATATTTTAATCTCCAGCTACTTTGATATAAAATTCTCAAATGTTCACCTAAAGTATAAGCTTATTAGCAAAATACAAACAAAAAATAGTTATCGTCCAATCACAGGCGTGTTCGTACAATATACCTAGAAGATCCGATCATAATAAAAACAATAAGTATTATATGGTACTATCAGAGTATCAGGTTTAATCGAGTATATTAAACTCTGTTGTGAATCCAATAATTAAATAAACTTCAGCGATTTGGAGGCTAAATTAAACAAGAGAGGCTTTTTGAAAAAATAAAATAAAATAAAACTAAGGAAAAAGGGGGCCAAAATTGGAAGAGTCAAAAGGTTCACCCATCGAAATGCCATTTTCGTCGCTGTGGTAATAAAAGCTATAACAGTTATTAATATACCAAGGCGAACTAGGTGGATACGCCGAGTCAACGTACACGAACTCGCTCCAAGACTCATCGTAACTCGTCTCTAGACTCGGTAACTCCACTATCTCGCTTAGTTCTTCCGCCGTCGACGCAGCTTCTTCGCTTGATGGTGACAATGACGATGATGTAGACGTCGAATAGCTTGAGGAAGATAGATGAGTCTCAGCTGGGACGACGACGGTGGTTGGATCAGAGACTATGAGGGAGGAGGATGAGGAGGAGAAGTCCATGGCGGCTGCTACGGCAGCTGCTGCTTGAACGTCGCGAGGAGAGGAGGAAGCTGGACGGGGAAGGTAAGTGGCGAGCTCCGGGAAGTTGAGGACGGCGGAAGTTCCTTTAATGGTGAGAGCAGCTGCGTCATGTGCACGCGCCGCCATCTCCGGTGTAGAGAAAGTACCGAGCCAGATTCGGCTTTTCTTGCGAGGCTCTCGGATCTCGGAGACCCATTTGCCCCACGTTCGCATCCGGACGCCTCGGTAACCCGGGTCGGGTCTAACACGTTTCTTGTTGTTGTTTCGGTGGGACTCTTCTTGATGATGATGATGATGATGATCAACCTCCTCCTCCGGCACCGGAGACGACTGTTTGACGGAGGTGATGGATGACTCGGTCATTGACACGTGAGTTTGACTCAGTGAGTGTGAAGAGAGTGCCTACGTAGGGTTTATATAAAGACTAGAGAGAGAGAAAGAGAGTTGAAGTATTGAAGTGAAATGTTGAAGTTAGTTAGGAAAGGACAGTCGATCGCTTACTTATGATGACAGGTGTGTACACATTATAAATTCACACATCAATATTATTTGAAAATGACCCATTTTTTGTTTTCTTTTATTTAAATGTTGATATTTGCATTCGGCAAGTAAATGCTTATTTATCTTTTCGTGATAACCTATGCATGGTCCATGGATGAACTTGATCAATTCAAAGGGGTAATAATATTCCCATTCGGAATTGACTAGGAACTTTGTTTTTGTTTTGTTAAAATTGACTATGAACTTATGCAATAGAAAAGGGAAAATGGGCAGAAAAAAACCCACGAATATGCATTAATGTCCATAAGCTTGATTACTTCTAATTTTCAATGGACTAGTAGTATTCCATTAGGTACGTATTGACTAAGAACTCTTTTTTTTGGTGTGAGGTATTGACTAAGACCAATCTTTATTGATGATCTTTTAACACAACTCTAAATAATAGATATGTTTTATAGCTAACAAAAATCTCTTAGTTAAGAGATTTAAGAGATTTTTGTTAGTTATAAAACATATTTCTTAACTTAAGAGTTGTCTTAAGAGACCATTGATAATGTTGCTTTAAAAACTTATGCAAGAAAAGGGGAGAATGGGGAAAGAAAAAAACGTTAATTATTAAGATGTCCATGAGCTTGATTATTTATTTATTTAGAATATTTAGTAGGCTAGTAATATTCCCTTAGAAATTGACTAAGAACTTTTATTTTTGTTTGTTAAAACGGACAACGAACTTATGCAAAATAATATTGAGAATGGTTCAATGGTAGAAGAAAATTCACAAATATGCGTAAAACTAAAAGATATGCTACTATGAGTTCAAAAATATTTCGTTACTAAGTATTGAAACAATGTGACGATTTGAATCAGAATGCTAACACAACTGATATAAGATTATGATTTTTTTGTAGCGATATTTTGGCACGTACGTCACATCACATATATTAAAGTACGTCTCGTTGGTATGCACTAATAGAATATTGTTTTCGATCAAAATAAAAGTCTATAATTTGAAATAGTGTTTACTTATATAATATAGCAAAATGGAGAAATGCAACCATATATATATATATATATATATATATATTAGTTTTGTCGTCTTGTATATCTTTCAAAAAAGAAAAATAATTATATAAATAGAAATGAATGTTTTTCGGTGGAAATCAAGTTCCCCAACTAGACCCAAGTTCGAATCAAGAAACTATGGAGTATTTTTTAGCCAAAAAAAAAAAAAAAACACTATGAAGTACAACACACAGTATTAACATGTTGGTTGGCCTTTCTTAATTCATATTGATGCTTAGTTATTAATTAGTTGCTTACACCTTTCTCGTACAAAATAGTATGAGCTCTCTCTCTGTAGTCTAGAAAGTCGAGTTTTTTTGAAGTTGATAAAAATGCAAATAAACAGATCATAGAGTATGATTTACTTACTTGTTTTGGGGTTAGAAATGATGAGAATTGAAAGGAAGGGAAGAGGAAAAGAGATAATTAAGAGAGACCCACAAGGAGTGAAGGCTGTTTGCCCCCATCTGAGCATGGCATTTCTGACAGTTGTCAACACCCTTCCCACATGCCTTCTTTTTAATCTCTTCTAATTTTCATTTTTCTTATCATCATTCTTCCATACATTCGCTATTTAATGTTCATTTTACCACATTATTTAACATTATTTTTTATTTTTTTTGGTTTTAAACTACCTCTCTTCATTTGGTAATCAATTTCATAGCATCGTTATAGAGCATAATTAATCTAGCTATAGTATTTTTATGATGTTGACGTTTTAGTGCATGATGAGTATCCTTTGAATGTTAACCTTTATGATCTTACACCGCTAGAACCTAGCCATTCTATTTTTGGTTTATTGATTGCCAAAATTTGGAGAAAATATTATTTTTGTTCAGAATTATAAGTATTGTTTTAACTCTCACAAATAGTATTACTTTAAATATCAAGGAAGAATTTTAGACGAAATTTTAGTTTTAAGTGTATCATTTGAGTGTTTTAGTAATTAAAACTATGTACTAGTTAGAGATAAAATAGAATTTTGATGGTTTTCTTAATATGTATAAAAATCTAAAAACAAATGTATAAATGAAAGGGGCAATACAATATATAAATAAACATGCCGTTTTCTTACCACCGGTCAAATTATGTCATCTACAATATTTTTCGACAAAAAATTCTGTTTCTGTTTATTAGACTTTTAGTTAATTATCTTGCTTTAATAATGTGATAAATGAGAGTACTTCGGTTGTATAAGTAGAAATATTTTTTTGACCATTTAATGTAGTTTATATTGATTTGAGTGCTAGGAACAAGGCCGGTGTAAAGTGTATTTCAAATTTAGAAGTAGTATTTCTAGGCAGTGTTCGCTTCTATATTATAGTATGAAGCCTGATATTCAAAAACTTTCATGGATTGTGTTGATGTAGTTTTTTTAACCTTACGCTACTAGCTACTTTAATATATACTACAATATTGAATTGATAACACCCAAATGAAGAAGGAATAGTGGCCTACGTGAAATTAAATAACTATTACCAAGAACATAAAATTGAAAAATATGCATTTTATCCTGTATACAGATTTATTATAAGTAATTAATGGACAATTTATTCGGACCGAGGATCAAACTAGCTAGATTAATTAATCACTTTCAGGTGGTCAGTGCTCAAATAAACATAGCTAGTTTTATAAGACTATATATAAATATGCAATTTTCTCATAGATATAAATATGTTTTAATAATTATAAGATAATGCCTTGAAATTAGAAATTACTAACATGGCGTACCTCGTGCATAAGATTAGGGCTTCCATGCTACCATCAACTACGTAATGAATTCCTCTGTTTTTATTTCCATTATAAAATAAAGTTATGTGAACCGCCAATGCCATTATGAAAAATCCAACAGCATCCATTCCTCCCACTAAATAGTTATGATATTTTTGGGCGAAGAATAACCTAAACGTGTGTGTATCATATTCATTGATCTCACCGAAAATATATTGCCATGGCTTGATCTAACTAGTAGAAACATAACCCAATTGTCCCAATTCATGATATCGTCTCAGAAAAAGAAAAAAACTAATTCAAGTGGTTCACTGGTTGAAAGATTTATACTGGAATTAGGAGACCAAAGTTCAAGTAGTTTCACCACGGTTGCAATCATGGTAACTATTGCGGTTTGCGGATGCCGTAAATGGTAAAAATGATATGCAGCGCTTCACAAGCTTCATAAGTTTATTTACAGTTTGGTAAACTTACAGTTTGATCCGGGATTTCCCATTATTAAACAGAAAAATAAAGTAGGGAACTAAAAAGGAAACAAATGTGTTCTCTTTTCACTTGTTCACAAATTTGTTGGTAGATGAGAATAAGCTAGGACCAGTTTTGGGCCTACAAGAATATGAGGTTGGTTTTATTATGGGCTTTAAAGAAATGGGTCCACTAGGACCCCAAAATTCTCAAACTTTCGCAAATTTAACCACACAACATTAACGTTCCTTCATATATGTTTCCTTGACGCAGCTCGATATTTTTTCACTATACATCATTTCGCTGTCCTTTTACGCTTGCCACGGTTGCTCTAATTATTATTCGGCACCCACCTAACCAGTAACCACTACTACACAAACAATGTATGTACGTACATTAATAATTCATGCTTGCATTACACATGTATGTTCATTCATGTTTGCACGCTGATTTGATATTTTTGATTTCTCGATTAGTAAGTGACTAAGGAAATCCCATTTATATTCTCCTATATAAGAATGTTAAATTAATTTATTCAAAAGCCGTTATATGCTTTTTGAATAGTACTCCCTCCGTATTAGAAAGATGGATTTTCTAAGATTTTCATCAAGATTAAGAAAACAATAAATGATGTATATTTATTACTTATTTTTGTGTTAAATCTTTTTAAAAGTTATTTCAAGCTACTTTTTTATCCCACTTACTCCAATCAATTGATCTTGAAAAAAAAAATACATTAAATATACTACAGAAAATCAATCTTTTTGATACAAGAATAAAACCTCAAACATCATTTTTTTTATACGGAGAGAGTATCTCTCATAAGCATAACTATTATTGGTACTTTTGAGTTTTGATTGTTCTAAGATATTCAATATACTACAGAAAATCAATCTTTTTGATACAAGAATAAAACCTCAAACATCGTTCTTTTTGATACGGAGGGAGTATCTCTCATAAGCATAACTATTATCGGTACTTTATGCTGCTAAACTAACGAATTTAACATGTTTATACAATTTTTTGACCCAAAAAAAATGTTCATATTTTCAAATGTTTATTTTTTGACAAAAAAAAATGTTTTTACTCATTTACCGATTGACCATTTTCATCACCATCCTCTACATATTTCTTCCATAGCCAATGCTGTCTCCAAAGAAGGTAAACCTCTTCAATAGGAACCTGTTTCGTCTCCGGCAACAGAAAGTAAACGAAACTTCCCATCCCGAATATAAGTCCAGCGAATAAAAGGAATATTCCATACTTGAGATGGCACAGCGACACGAGGAAGCACTGCGCGATTAGAGCCGTGAAGAAAAGGTTTACGCACACCACAACACTCTGACCGGCTGATCGAGTCTCTAAAGGGAAAAGCTCGCTCGGAACTAACCATCCCATTGGACCCCATGACCGACCATACGCCAATACAAATAGACAGATAAGGACCACAAGAATCACACCGAGCGATTTTGGTAGCTCTTTGCCTTCCCCAAACTTCAAGGCTAGTGTTACTCCTACTACAACCTGAGGAAAAATGAACATATTTTGGGTTTCAGCGGAAGTTACTTGTTTAGCAAGATAAAAACCCTAGCTTTTGCCAGAGGTAAAAAAAAAAAGAGCATTAACCATGTAACAGAACATCTCCACGCTAGCTTCAAGAAGAAGAAACCTTCTTCCAAATTTATCAGCAGAATACATAGACATGATCGCCGCGACAACGAGTGCAGCGTTTGTAATCGTGGACGAGATAAGTGATGCGGATCCACCAAACCCTAAGCTCTGAAACATAACCGGAGCATAAAACAAAATCGAATTCATTCCGGTTAGTTGCTGAAACGCAGGAATCCCAATCGCTCCAATCACTAGCTGTGGTCTGTTCCTCCGAGCAAGAAGATTGCGAAACGGATTCTTTACGGCTCTAGCAGCTTCACTGGCTTCGACAAGATCCTGAAACTCAGCTTCTATATTGTTTGTGCCACGTACTTTGATCAGTACGGCTTTAGCCTCTTCGAGCTTCCCTTGCTCGACAAGACTGTTGGGTGTTTCGGGCAAAACGAGTCCACCAAGGAACATGAGTATAGCTGGGACGGTGGCGAGACCGAGAGAGAGTCTCCATCCCCATGGATGGATTTGCTCTGTTTTGTAGTTTATCAAATTAGCAACTAGAATGCCAATGCAAGTTGTTAGCTGGAAAAGCTGATTCACGGTTCCTCTAATCTTCGCTGGAGCCATCTCCGAGAGGTATAACGGAACCGCCTGTAAACGCAAACGCAGAAATTAAAGGCCAAACCGGACCAATCGCTTAGACATTAGATTTAATAAATTGTGGGGTTTTGCCTGGTTTCCGAATCCAATGCCTATGCCGAGGAAGATTCGACCAAGGATTAACATGAGGATGTTTTTGGCGGCGGCGTTAATGACTCCTCCGAGGAAGAAGCTAACAGAGCCAACAAGGATGCTTCCTCTCCTGCCGTAGATTCTGGTGACATAGGAAGCTCCAAAAGTTGAGATTAAACCGGCGAAGTAGAGAGAGGAAGTGAAGAGTGTGAGGATTTGATTGTCGTATTTGCAGTAATCTGTTTCGTTCAGATGCATTTGCTTTCTTTTGTAGATTCCTGGGAAGAACTCTTTCAAGAAATCGTCCATTGAAGTAACACCACCTGCGTTTAACAAGGAAGAAGAAACAAAAATGAGCATTGTGTCTTGCATAGGTTCCTTGAGTTTCAAGAAACAAAAATAGTCGACACTTAACAAGGCTGAAGCTAACCCTCCTCGGAGAGGGGACTTATATTTTCTGACAAAACAGAGGAAATTGGGCAAAACTGAAGCTGGCCCTTATCAAAAACAAGACTTGAGGGTTTCAGAATCTGACTGTTTGATTGGTATAAGATAAACTCAGATCGAGAAAGTTATCTAACCAGAGACTCCCAGATCATAGCCGAAGAGAGAGCCTCCCATGGATCCAACGATGCAAGCGAAGATGAAGTAAGAAGTTATTCGATGTTCATAGAGATGAGCTCTCTTTAGGGCTCCTTCGTCAGTAAGAGCTCCACCGGCCATGGCTTTCAAACCTTGAAGTCAGAAGGAGTAATCTTCTGATCTCTCTCTTTGTAATAAAATTTGATCGAGTGTTGTGAACTAGTAGTGATCATTATAATCAAGCTTTAGAGACATATAAAGGTTGGATATTAGCAGTTACAAATTGACTATCTCTTTCCTTATCCCTTTTTCTAAGGAGATATATTTGACTTCATCTTTCTTAATTACTACAATGGCTAATTGGTAATAATTTTCTTGATAAGTTATGTTATTTTAAAGATATTTCTAATATGATGTCCAAAAAATAAAGAAATTTAGATCATTTTCTCCATGAATTATATATCTTGTCTCCATGACATATTTTATCCATAATTTAATGCTAGTATACCATTAATTATTTTCTCCATAAATGAGAAAATACATTTCCCTTTCTATTGAATTGTGTATCATAACTTTGATATTTAAAACCGTATTACCTGAGTTGTTCAGTTGATCTAGTGAATATTTTTTGTAGCTTGATGAATGTTATTTGAGTGACAATGCCATCATTTTCTGGCGATCTACATGACAGAAAAAAATGTTGTAAGAGTTACAAAAGAAATAGAGATGTTAGAAGGAAAGAACAGATCACAAAAACAAGGTCACTAGCTAGTGAACTTTAGGACATCATTTATCCTCTCCGTTCTTTACCACATAATAAACATGATATTCCTTTGTTGGTTCTTGATTTCCCTTGAAAGCTTCATAATGTATGTCTCTAATACTAAAACGCTTTCATCATCATCTCAGAGTTAATCACTTCACCAAATACTACTTTTCTAGCATACCTTCTTCTTGCTATTGGCTTCACCAGCCCCTACATTGCGTTAACGTTTTTGTTATATATAGTTCACATATTTTTGACGCATTACGCTTAAAACATAAATTAAAAGGACTTTAATTAGTTGAACTTACATGTGTTTGGACATAAGTTGCTCTCGTATTCAATCCGTCCTCCGCATTAAGCTTTCTTTGCGCATCGCTCTTAAGGGAGGAAAAAAACAACAAGCATAGATCATACGAACCTATAAACTCAACGAAACATGAATGAGAGAAAGTGAGAGAGAGCAATGGTAATAAGAAGAGAAAACTGATATCTTCTGAAACGGTTTTGCAACGTGAAAAAGATCATGTGAGATATTTTAGGGATTTCTAAACTGATTATCTTTTTTGATTATAAAAATCTTTGATAAACTTATCTACTAAATACACCACATTTACGATGGATAACCTTACGTACCATACATGATCTAAGATGAATTAATTTGAAAATAAGATGTGTATGCCATTTTTATCATCTATCAACTATCAAACTATTAATTTCACAAGAAAAATTGTCAAATGTTTGAATATTCTACGTAACTTACGATTGATCCCTCATTATCGATAAGCTTAAATGATAGAAAAATACTGATAGTTGAGTGTTTTAAGAGATCCATATTTATTTCGCTAATAATAATTTTCTCAAGGTGATCGAAATAAGTCCAATGAGGAAGAGACACGTCAGATTGTTAGAAAAACACGTCAGCACATTAAGGGGGGTTTAGCTTGACACAACCGCCAAAGCAAAAAAGGCTGAAGTTTTCCTTTTTAGGCTCTTTCTCTTCCACGCGGAAATTTAATAAAAAAAGATCCAAACTTGAAGATAGCGAAGAGGAAAAAAGATAATCTCTGGCTCGATTTTTGTTGGATTCCTCGATTCGAGCAAGTTCTAAGACTCGTGGGTTTTCTTCTGGATAACGTAATTGATACTCGTGTAAGTGCAATTTCTCTCTCTGTATCTACCTGTTGAATCGCCTTTTTTATATGGGGTTGGTGATTTAGGGTTTTACGCAATCGTTTCGTTTGCTGGGTGATGTAGCTTGGGTTATTCAAAAATACGAATTTGATCAAGGAACTTGTTTCTTGTAGATTATTTCGGGTCAATTTGTGTGTTTAAAGATTCAATTTTTTTATCAGAATTTAATCTCTATTTGTTGTCTTGTTACTCGTAATGCAGGTTTTCTCTCTACAAATCAGAAAGGGTCGTCACTGTTATTGTCATAGCTTGAGAAAGGATCTATTTTTAAAATCAGTGGGAATAGAAAACATCAGTGATAAGCTTTGGATTAGTTGTTTGGGGTAAAGTGTCCTCTTGCTTGATGTGAAGATTGCTTCTTGTTTTTGCTGGTTCTAAATGGAGTGGAGGGGAATCCTCTGCTCGCTGCTTTTTATTATTTCTGCGGGAGAGTCGTCAAGTAGATTCGGGTTAATGTGGCATCCTAACCTTGGTGTTGATTCTGGACAATACTTGACTTGGCCAATCTTAAGTGCCAGTGTATTCGTGGTTATTGCCATCCTCCTCCCCATGTATCTTATCTTCGAGCACTTAGCTTCTTATAATCAACCAGAGGTTTGTTATCCCTTCCTTAACACCCGCTTTGTCGTATTCTCATGCTCATAATAAATGATACTGATTCATCTTTATGACTCTTCTCTTATATTAGTTGGGACATTTCTTTAAATGCTTGATCCATTAAATTGATCATATCACCATCACCAGTAACTAAACATCACTCCCTCTTGTAAATCACAGGAACAGAAGTTCCTTATTGGACTTATTCTGATGGTTCCTGTTTATGCTGTGGAATCGGTAGGTTTGATAAGTTACTATATACGTTGATTCTGTATTTGTAGTGAAATTTCCATTAAGATATGTATTCAGATATTTTTCTAATTCTGGGTTCCTTATACTTTCCGAGCAGTTTTTGTCTTTGGTGAATTCGGAAGCAGCTTTCAACTGTGAGGTGATTCGAGACTGTTATGAAGCTTTTGCACTCTATTGTTTCGAGAGATATTTGATAGCTTGCCTAGGTAATGCTTATATAACTGTAAAAATCTGTATCCATAGCTTCTGAGTCCCTGAATATGATATTTTGGGCTTCAAATAAGCAAGTGGTTGATTATTGAAGCTATACTTTATTCACTTGAAAATGTATTTGGAATCTGATGACTTTTGATTATTTCTCTGTTATAATTTACTGAGAAATATTTTATCTCTATATCTGCAGATGGAGAAGAACGTACAATTGAATACATGGAACAGCAGACAGTTATCACCCAGAGCACTCCTCTTCTAGAAGGCACATGTTCTTATGGAGTTGTAGAGCATCCCTTTCCAATGAACTGCTTCCTAAAAGATTGGAGTCTTGGTCCTGAGTTTTATCACGCTGTGAAAATTGGCATCGTTCAATATGTATATGTTGTCATTACTTTATCTGGACTATATGGCCTATGATGTATTTCTGTGCTTCAAATGATAAATTATATTCTGCTGCAGATGATACTGAAAATGATTTGTGCTCTATTAGCAATGATCCTCGAAGCCTTTGGGGTTTATGGAGAAGGGAAGTTCGCATGGAATTATGGGTAATCTTTTGTTTTCTCCCTTCTCTTTGTCGATATGTATTTGTTCTTTGCTATATCTTGATTTTAACATGGTCATCGACAAAACATCTGATTTAGTAAAAAATGTGGTCTTATTGCAGATATCCATATCTGGCTGTAGTGCTCAATTTCAGTCAAACATGGGCATTGTATTGCCTTGTACAGTTCTATAATGTCATCAAAGATAAGCTAGCACCCATTAAACCACTGGCCAAGTTTCTAACATTTAAGTCTATTGTGTTCCTCACCTGGTGGCAAGGTATTATCGTTGCATTCCTCTTCTCTATGGGACTCTTCAAAGGGTCTTTGGCTAAGGAACTGAAAACGCGAATACAAGACTACATCATCTGTATCGAAGTAATTTTCATAAAACTAATTGTTCCTTTTAAGTATCCACATTTAGATTGGTGTGAGTTATAAACTTAAAATGTAATGTTTTTACAGATGGGCATTGCTGCTGTGGTCCATCTTTATGTGTTTCCAGCAGCGCCTTACAAGCGTGGAGAAAGATGTGTTCGTAATGTAGCAGTCATGTCAGATTATGCCTCTTTAGATGTACCACCTGATCCAGAAGAGGTTAAAGATAGTGAACGAACAACTAGAACGCGGTATGGTAGACATGACGAGAGAGAAAAACGCTTGAATTTCCCACAAAGTGTCCGTGATGTTGTGCTTGGGAGTGGTGAAATTGTAAGCTGATTTCTTCTATAACTAATTTATTTCTCTACTTGCAGTTTTCTTTTCTTTTTTTTTGCTTTAGTCCTTGCTCATGACCAAAAGTTTTATTGTTCTTGGTAGATTGTGGATGACATGAGATTCACAGTTTCGCATGTGGTGGAACCGGTTGAAAGAGGAATAGCGAAAATAAACAGAACATTCCATCAGATATCTGAAAATGTGAAAAGATTTGAGCAGCAGAAGAAAACAACAAAGGATGATTCATATGTGATTCCGCTGAATCCATGGACGAAAGAATTCTCAGAGATTCATGAAAACCTCTATGATGGAGGGAGTGTGAGCGACAGCGGTTTGGGAAGCTCAAAGCGGCATCACCAGTCTAGGGTCTCGGGATTGTGGACTAGAATGCGAAGGTAAAAAACAAATGGTGGTGCAAATCGGAAGATGCCTTGGTTTTTTTGAAGTCTCATCTTCGTCACATCTAACAAAGAAGTTGTAGATTTTATGGGATGATGCTACTCTGCAGGATTAAACACAGGTAACAAGAGATGCTACTAACTAGTATTCCTCTACCCTTTATACAAAACTTTATTGAGAAGTTAGGTTTGTATCTCGTAATGACAACATGTATGTTCTTACACAAAAGTAAAATAAAAATTTGTCATGAACCGTCTTCTCTCATACATGGTCGTCTTTTGTTCTCAATTCTGAACTTTGCTCTTATAGATGGTAAGAGTTGGCCCAAATCCATTTTGTAATGGGATAAATTATTTTAAAGCCCAAATCGGAACTGGGCCGACTCTTTTTGGAGGGAGCGATTAGCCCTAATTGAGAGAGCCGCTTAAATAAAAATAGTTGTTGATGATCGAGCGAAGAAGAGAGTGAGTATAAAAAAAGATGAAGCTAACGTGGAACAAGAACCCTAAGAAACGATCTCGCGTAGCTCTATCGAATTTCCCGGATCTTCCTTTCGAGAAGGATGATGCTCCAGAGTCCCAATCTCATCGTCAGTTTCGTGAAGATGATATTGGTCGTAGACAAATTACCGATCAATTGGACTCGTCGGATCATCCTCGTGAGAAATTCGATCTCGAAGCTAAGGATCTGGCAGAGTCCATAAGAGCCCAAGGAGATAAACTCGCTGAGGTAAACCAGCTGTATATAAAATTTGGGTACTTCAATTTCAGCAATTTGCTGTTTTGGTTCAGAACTGGCAAAGTCTTTGTATACTTTGATTCTCGTCGTAGATGAGTTTGAGTTGCATAGTGGCAGTCTTCTTTTGTTTTTATTTCACCATGATCCTTGGCCTATTGAACCTCTGTTTTAACTGCTTTTGAAAAGTTTTCCTTTTTAGAAATCTTCTTGTCTCTTTCTCCAACAACATCCCGTTAGTTCTTGGAAGAAATTAAGACTGACTTCCAAAAACCCTTTTAAAACAGAGTTCCGTAGACCACGGATTGCAAAAGAGACTATGCCACTGAAAACTTTATCAAAGAATAGGAAGAAAGATAAAAAGTTAACGAGAAAGCTTTAGTTGAGCCGCAGAGTACACCCAAAGGAATGACATTTATCTGGAAAATATGAGAGAAACAACAATATTGTCGAAAATGTTACTCTCTTGTTAGTTGAGAATGGAATGAAGTTCAAAGGAATACACATGAAAAGAGTCAGATTTTGTTTGTGTGTTTTAAACTTCGCCAAGTTTGTATCTTCCAGAAGAGTTGAGACATTTTCTATACAACATGTTAGCATTTGAAAGGCCTCAGGTTTCATCTTTCTTGACATTTCTTGTAATGGTGTATCTTTGTTTATGGAGCTACTTCAGTTGCAAATTTCTCTAGTTGATCTTGTTTTCGCATCGTGATCTTGCTATTGAAGGAAGGTAAATACCAGGAGGCTCTGGGGAAATGGGAAGCTGCTCTTAATCTTGTTCCCGAAGATGCAGTCCTGCATGAACAGAAAGCACAAGTGTTACTTGAGCTTGGTGATGCATGGAAAGCTCTCAAGGCTGCAACACGTAATGCATGAAGCCTTTCTGTTTTGTTATTTTTATATGTATGTACAATTTAGAGTACTATTAATGTTCTTCAAGAACCCTCTTAACATTTCCTATGGTTTTCATTCATCCCAGGAGCTACTGAGATAGATCCATCGTGGGCTGAGGTACTCATGCAATGTTTCTTTATAAGTTTCTGATTCTGCATAGATATACGGATGTTGAAAGCTTTAGTATAGCAATCTAATTCCTTATTTGTATGGCTAAACTTTTTCAAATCTGTTTTTCTTAGGCATGGACTACTCTTGGAAGAGCACAACTAAATTTTGGTGAACCGGACAGTGCTATCAGGAGTTTTGAAAGTGCATTATCGATCAATGTGAGTTCCACAACAAATTAAAATCAAGTCATATTATTATGAATAATATGACTTGATTCCATAGAGATCTTAATTCGTGTTATTACCATTACATAGGGGGATTCCAGAGAGGCGAACGACGATCTAAAAACTGCAAAACAACTAATAAAGAAGAGAGAACAGCTTCAGACATCAGGACAGGACACCGAGACTAAACGTTTTGTGGTCGGTGACAAGAACATAGAGCCAAACTAATGAACCAGAGACTTGTACTTAGGTATAGAGAAGAACTTCGTAGAGTACAATATAATAATAACAACAAAGCAAGATCCTTCTTCATCAAGGCAAGGACTTAGCAATTTGTCTGAGAAGAAACTTTTGAATCTTTCCAGTAGAAGTCTTTGGAAGCTCTTCCAGGAAAACCACATTCCTTGGAACCATATACTTTGGCAGCTTGGTTTTACAAAACTCCCTTATCTCTCTTTCAGTCACAGACCCGCATGATACTTCAAGCTGACAAATGCACATGGAGTTTCTCCCCACATCTTGTCTGGCTTAGCCACCACAGCTGCTTCCTTAATTGCGGGGTTTGTGTACAGAACTGCCTCGAGTTCCATGCTGCTGATGTTCTCTCCTCCGCAAATGACCACATCCTTTGATCTGTCTTTGACTTCCAAGTAACCATCTGGGTGCATTACACCAATGTCTCCGGTGTAGAACCATCGGTCTTCTCTCATACTTGCCGCGGTGCCTTCTGGGTCTTTGTAATAACCCAGCATGACCGAACCGCCTTTGAAGACGATCTCTCCAACAGTTGCTCCATCATGCTTCACGCCCTTCCCGGATAATGGGTCTCTAACATCGACTTCCGCGAATACCGCAGTTTTAATTCCTTGCCTTGATTTCAGTTTTGCTCTTGCGTCTGGTTCTAGACGATCCCACTCAGGCTTCCATGCGCACGAGACAACCAGGCCGCCGGTTTCTGTCATCCCGTAACCGTGACCCACGTCGAAACCGAGTGCCTTAGCCTTGGAGATGACTGTAGCTGGTGGTGGAGCTCCAGCTGTCATAACCTTAACTGGGCTCTGAAGCGGTTTCTGGCCTGGGTAATTGGTCAACATGTTGAGAACCATTGGTGCAGCGCACATGTGGGTCACTTGATACTTGTCGATCAAGTTGAATATAGTCGGTGCGTCAACTCTTGTGACACAGATGTTTGTGGCCCCCACAGCTGCTGTGGCCCACGTGTAGCTCCACCCATTGGCGTGGAACATCGGTAGGGTCCACAGGTATACCGGACAGTTAGGCAAAGACCAGTCTAGCAAAGAGTTAATAGTGCTCATGAAAACTGACCTGTGGCTATGCACCACTCCCTTTGGAGACGACGTAGTTCCTGAGGTGTAGTTAAGCACCATTGGAACCCACTCGCTTTTCGGACGAACCCACTTGAAACATGGGTCTCCTCTCTCCATCACCCCTTCGTATGTGTCAAGAAAATCCATGTCAGCCGATGTAGATGATGGCGTGTCATTTCTGTCGTTGAGGATGATGAGGCGAGGCCTCTCATTCTTGGGCAAGAACGAGACAGCTTCGAGGACTAAAGATCTTGAGTGATGGTCAACAAACATGAGCTTGGATTCACTGTGACGCAAAAGGACGGAAAGTGCGTGAGCGTCTAAACGCGGGTTGATGTTGTTGAGGACTGCGCCTGACATTGGAACCGCGAACTGAAGCTCGTAAACAGATGGAACGTTGGGACCAATAACAGAGACAACTTGGCCACGGTTGATACCGAGGGAAGAGGAAGAGAGAGTTGAAGCGATGCGGAGACATCGAGAATGAGTTTCAGACCAAGTATGGACGGTGGTTGTGTGGAGGAGGGAAGGAGAGCCTCCGAAGACGGAGGCGGCTCGTTCTAAGAAGCCGAGAACAGTGAGAGGACATGAGTTTGAAGCGTGTGGGAGTAAAAGTTCCATTGTCGAATGTGTTGATTTTCTATTTTGTAAGATTTTCTACTTTTGATGGGATTGGTGAAATGAATATTATATACATATATCCCGATATGGTTAGGTAGAACAGAAATCATTATATTGAAATATTATATTTTGAGCTTAGCTTATTAAAAGGGAAAAAAAACAAAGAGAACGAGATTGTGTTACTCGAATTGGAGGCTTTAATATATGAGCAAAGATCGTATAAGACAGGACGTTTGATTCGAGCTACTCATACTTAATTGCTACATACATTTCAATGATTCGAGCTACTCACATACCTTGAGAGTCTCTTTCAACGCAAATAGTTTAAACATCCTCAGAGAGAGTAGCTTTGGTCCATTACGTACCTTAAGTGGAGTATGGTGAGGCCATATTTAATTTCGTGGAATTATTGCACGATTTAGTCAATGCTACACCTAATCTCTTATACGCATTTGTACAATAATAGAGAGAATTTCAATAATTTCGGATGTTAGTCTCATCCTTCCAATGTCGATTAGGTACTATGAGCAACATGCATCTTTTGTAAAATCAAATTATTAATAATACTCCTAAATTATAAATAAAAATTATCTGATGATGAAGCATCATCTCTTTGGTCAAGAATGAGTTCACTATAATGTTGAACAGAGTGCAAAATCAGCAGATCAAAAGGCACTGTTGATTAAAAGAATTTACTCTTAGAAGGGTTTACCTTCAGAATCCTTTGTCTTGGTTTCAAAAGTTAGCAACCAAACGAACACAATTTGTGGAGAAGAATCAAATATTAAAGTGTTGAAAGTTAGGTAGATGAAAAAATAGACGATATCTTTTGAGACAAGAAACTGTATTGCTTGTTTGCTTATCAATCCAATCTTTCATTTGATGGATTGGAATGTCATCTGTTCTTCATCTTTCAGTGTGTCAGCTGCGTTTAGAAGCATGTCCATTCCTCCTACGCTTTTATCCAATTCTCCATTGTCTTTCCTTCGCGGTTTGCCTTCGAGATTCCTGGGTTTTATTCCTTTCTGTTTCTGCAGCGTCTCCATCTTCTTCTCAAAAACCTTTCGTGCTTTGCGGACTTTAAGAATTGCAGCTTTACATGCTGTGCAAAACCATTCTCCATTTGGAACCGATTCACATGGAGGTCTCATGCAATAGATGTGATACGCATCATCACACCCATCACACAAGACGATTTTATCATCATCTTTGTCAGTTAGGCAGTTTCTGCATAAGCACGATGAGCAATACCAACGAACACCGTGTAATTTAATTTGCCTTGAAGTCAAGCACCTGATGTGGTAATACTTGTGTGGGCAAAAAGGGTGATCACATGTTATATACTTTCCGCCACTATCCACCTTTGTTCCACAGGTCCTACAGAGTTCAGAATCTCTATTCATCTCTACGTGGTGATTCATGTTACAGCTTGAATTCTCTTCAGATTCGTTCGACTCTTCTTTGCATTCTTGACTCGTACCAACAGATCTGTTTTCTGTCTCCATCATCCCTTGGGTTTTCATTCTTTCACACACTACACAATTCTCGTGAGGTGATCCGATTCCCTTAGATGTGCAGTCTAGACAATACCAACTGTGTGTTGGCATCCCTTTCCCACCAGGATGTGCACACGAGACATGGTACATATCTTCACAATGATCACATGCTAAACAGTCTCTTGCCTCTGCCTTCTCTCCACATAGCTTGCAAACGTCATAAACACTGTCATTTGTGATGTTCTCTGCATTAGGATGAGGCTTCGATTTCCCAGTGTAGAACTGCTTCAACTTTCAGAATTTGAAGAAAAGAAGATATTAGAGGATTTATGGATAAAGTTATAATAAGATAGCACCTCGAAGAAGATCATTGCCTGACACTCACCTGTTCCTTATAGGAGGTCCTTGAAAGCTCTAAGAGGCTATTAGCAAGAACAGCCATATCATTACCAACATCCTGTATTTTTTGCCAGACCTGAAATCAGTAGTTAGGTTTAGTTCTATGTCTACCTTCAATCTAATGCATAGTATGTACTGAAAACACAACCACATTCGTCAAGCTGAGAGTTTGAGTTCAGCTTCCGAACCACAGCATCAGACTATATTTTTCACAATGAGAAGGATAAGAATGACATGATAATCTGTTATCATGCATATTTATCTTCAGACTAAGCATAGTTTCCACTAATTACCTCTTGGAGATCCGTTGAAAAGAGCAGAGGTGAACCTTCATAAACACCCTCTTTCATCCTGGTGTCTATCAGAGTTCTGCAAGTAAGGTCTTCAATCTTGGCCCCTTGAAGATTTTCGGAAAGTAACTTATTTAGGGATGCAAACTCCTTTGAAGCTAAAACATGAGACAGAACATGCTGGCAACCGGCTGTCACGGTCTCATGCTTGGATTCACTTGATGATTTATTTGGATTGGAAAGCTTCGGGAGTTCACCAGTAAGATGGGTTCCTATGCTGAACTTTTGATTATATAGTTCACAAGAGACAGACTCCTGTGCAAAAGAAATTTAATGAGAAATTTAATCCAAAATAAGAAAGAGCTAAAATGTTTTAGGAGCATATTTCAAGAATAATAAATCATGGCTACAGGAGCTGATCACACAAATATAATAAGAGACCAATTTCAAGAATGAATGCATTATTCAGCAAACGCTAGTCAGGTTTTCAATAAGCAACGTGTTAACAGCCAGCATTAATGGGATTATCTACTATTTGCAAAGCATTTCCTGAAACATAGCGAACAACACGAAGGGAATAGACAGATAATCGCAAAATTATTCCTTGAATGGCCATACGAATATAAGTAGAAATGACCCTTATCTTTAGCTCCCTCATCAACATGCTGAGTAATTGAGGCCAATATTCACTATAGAAGCAAGCAACTACCCAACCATCACTAGATTGAAAGAGATCCTAATATACATTCCTTTGCCAAGACTCCTATTTTACAACACAGCTGAAAGATTAAACCAAATTCACAGAACATACAACAATTGAGGTGCACGGAAGTTGCAAAATGCTAGCAACTACATATACTCCAGCAGTTTAAAATCAATCACAATCAAAGGTATCATAATAGAAAAGGCATGAAAGTACCCGGCTTCCTGAGTGACTAACACCTTCCGTGGAAATTCTATCAGAACAAGATCTCCCAAGTTTTCTCCGCTTATATGTTTGTATCTTCTTACTATCTCTGGAACTAGGATTGGCAGAATTAGCCATAGCACCACCTCCAGCACTCCAATGATTCAATGCTTCACTTTCCACCAAACGATTTCGCTGATTATACTCTGTACCTTCACCATTGTTTGTAGCCTCCTCCATGAACATCTAAAACGAAGGATTTGATCCTCACACTCTGGAGCCTAGGGTTTCACCCTTCTTCCATCCTACTATAGAGAAAACAGACAAAGGACACTTGAATCCTTACATAACCACAAACGAAATCTCATACGCAAATGTTGTCCATTGGTAAAATGCCTTGGATTAATCACCAAATAAACCATCTAGAAATAAGAAAGACAAAAAGCGATGAAATTGAAGGCTATTCTACCATAATTTTCCCAGAAAACAACGAATTTCAAGACACAGAAACTTCAATGGAGCTTTATCTAAACACTACAAAAGTTGGAACGAAGCTAAAATCCAAAATCAAAGCTCTAGCGACAAGCGAGCGAGAAAACGACAAGAGGAAAAAAAGAGAGTAAAACCGTACCAGAGTGAAGAAATCTGCGTCCAGAAACGACGAAGAGCAAACCCTAGATATTTGAGAAGAGGATTGATTTACCGGTCTCGGAGATTTAGACTCGCCGGTGGTTCTGCAAATCCCGGCTTCTCTCTTATCTTTGAATCATTTTTAAACTTCCGCGTCCCTTAACCGGTATAATTTTTTCAACTTGGATCTGACACCGGTCAAAACCGGTAATCAGTGACGTGAAACTGACACGTGGCAGTAATAAAACCGCGCCGGAGGTTCACGGTAACGGAGAGCAGACTAACAGATTCGTGATGTGCACGTGCTTTTAGTTATTATTCTCTGCGGCTTTTAGAAAAGAATCAAAGATCGATCAACGAGTCTGTACTGTCGGATCTCAACTTAGCAATCCAACGGTTATAACTAAAAGACACCTTTTTCTCTGTTTCTTTGTCTGAGAAAATGAATCTTTTTGTTACCCATGTGTTAAAGTGGCTCAAGTGTATTAACACTCTTCATTCTACAACAATCAAATCAACAAACAAATAAACAACATACAATTATCAATTTATCACTCAGAACTGTCGCTTTGAGCAGACTTATCATCACATTCGATTTCGTATCTTTTCTTTTTCGTTTCTCATATCCTTTTATCGCAGATGAGAATCCTAACGCTTGCGTGGGGTCCTTCCCCGGTATCATGAACACCCGCAGTCCAACCGATGGCTTTAGCCACTTGTTGAAGTTGGTCCATCAAAGACAGTGAATCCCTTATGTAAACCCGTCCTCCCGGTCTCAACATCCGGTCCATCTCCAGCATAATGTTTGTTATGTTGCACCTATGCTCCACATGGAACCCAATTCATTACCCCAATCAAGTTCCTGACCTTTATATTTGGATTCAGCATTAGAAAAAATACCAAGTTTAAATCTTTTTACCTCTTCTTCTCAACAGAGAAGAGAAATGCAGCATGTATCAGATCATAGGTTCTTGGGTATGTGTCAAATGGCTCACACCTAGAGAAAGCAAGTGCAAAAAGCTTTAGATGTGATCTTGTGTAAGTTATGTGGGATTAGAAGCAAAAGAGCAGAAGGTTATATATCGGTCTGTACCAGTCATGCATAGCCCCTACAAGTCCACGGTCATATATAACTGGCAAGGTGTTGAATCTGCTAACGGGAACAATGTTCATAACCCAACAATCAAGCCCGAGATCGTTTAATGCTGCTGCAAACCTACCAACATCAAGTAATACTAAATCAATTAAACTTCGGTAAGACGGAAACGATAAAAAGGTGAGATTGATAGTTACCCTCCAAAACCAGCTTTCATGTCCAGAACATTCCTAAGCTTGAACTCTTTCCAGCGGAAAACCCGCACGTAACTCTCTACTACTTCTAACCAAAATCTTGACTCTGCCTTCATAATTTCCTTTCGGGAAATGTAGGCATCCATTTGAATGCTCTGTAGCCTCTCTGGCGGATCATGAAGACGTGCAGGCCATGTGGAGACATTAGCCCCATAGCCATTATCAGGTAATCGGGTGATGCACGGTTTCATATCTACATACCTGGAACAGAAAACCATAACCACAAAGTTAAGAATTTCAGAAAGTTTTAATTGAAAAGCTGAGAATTTGGTGGTTCTACCATAGAATGTCTATGCAAGAAGGCTCAAAACTATTAAAATGAAATTAGACTTTAAGATGCATATATTACCAAACATCGTCAGGATCATCATCAGGTCTGCACAAATGAGGCTTTGTTCCAGCTTCACGACTGACATAGCAGCTGTTGTTTAGAGGCTTCCTCCACACAGCAATATATCCCTCTTTCTTGATAAGCTCCCAACAGATTCGATTCGTAAGGTCTAACATTTCTGAAAAAGATAATCATAGAACAGAAGCAACATCCATTTTTAGTTAAATTCCATAGCAGACAAATTATTTAGTCGAATAAGTTACGGACCTTTCCACTGCTCTTGCAAGTTATCCTCATGTTTGTAAACGGGTTGTGCAGCCCAAACAAAGTAGCCTCCTGCTCTAAGCATTCTATTAACTTCAAGAAGAAGTATCCCATCTGTGTAATTCAGCCAATAAAAAGCTTTAGTCACACTTACTATGGTAAATCTCAAATAACATTACAGGAGAAGTAAAAAGCCAATAATGAAAGAAGAGAAATCAACCATCGCGGGTCCAATTAATTCTGCATCTGGAACAATGAATAATCTCAAAAGACTGGCTTGGATACAACAACCTCCGTGTGGCAAAGACAGCAACCATCGCAGGGACACCACGCTCCAATGCAAACTGTATCTGATTCTCATGAACATCTTTTGGTGCTACAGACAAGGTTGTAGTGTTACGCTGCATCAAAAAGGCACCAAAGCTCGCCACACCACAGCCAATGTCCAAAGCAACACGAGTGCGTGTTCCAAATGTAATATCAGGAATCATCTGCAAATTTCAATCTAAGAGAATATAAGATTAACACAAAAAAAACAAATTAGCCAAAAACGAAAAAATACAAGATTAGAAAAACAAAAAACAAACCTTGGAGATCTGGTCTAAATACTGATCAGCTCCATGGATGAATTGAGTTCCACCTCCAGGGAAAACAAACTTATCTTTCTCTCTTCTAATCCAATTTTGACCTCCTTTATCTTCCACTAAACGTGTATGAGGCACATTATTGAACCATATCTACAAGCACAAATCAAGTTAGTGACTTTACATGAAGGGCTTAGATAAAGGTAAGGACTTGATCACACTATTTCACCTTGTCTCTGCTTTGTGGCCATGGGATTGGTTTCTTATAACCATCTGGAGGTGGAATCAAGCAATCTAAGCTCTGTTTAGGACAATGTCTCTCGTAATTCTCTCCTCGATCGGTATTGTTCAATCTCTTGATCTCTTCTTCGTTGTCTAAGCATGGAATGTAATCTATCTTCGTCTTGTCACATAATTTGAGTTTCTCAATTTGAAAACCGCTTTCCGGCGATTCTTTTTCCTCAACCGACGAATTTCCGGTGGCTGATTTAAGCTCGTCGACGGAATCCGGATCGAATCCGCCGACTTCGAACGAATCAGACATGGCACCATTCTCGTCGATGATTCCCGTTCTCACCACTGTCGGTGGCAGCGGAGGAGGGGATATCTTGAGACGCGGACGCGGTGGAGGAGATGGTGCTACCGCCGCGACGGATGTTATGTCGGTTTGGATAGCTTCGGTGACGTTTGAAGAAGAGGAAACCGGAAAACGAAGAGATGGATAAGAGAAGGAATCTGAGAAGTGATTGAAGAGAAAAATTGTTGAGATTGAGAGAAACGCAAACGCAATCAGTTTAACCAATCTCGGAGTTTTCACAACGTCTAATCCAACGTCGGAGAGTTTCATGGCGGTTAAAAACGCCGGCGATCTGATGATGGAGCAAATCAATAATTTTTACAACGGATCGAGCAAAACAGAGAGAGAAAGGTGATTCCTTTTTTTTTCAGAGAACCGGCGAGGAATTGATGAATCAGACGCCGGCGACGGTGGAGAGACGAGGAGAGTGGAGGTTGAGACACGTGGATGTGGTGGTGAGGAATTTGATGTGAGAGTGAAGGGACGACGAAACTCGACGAGTCGCATGAAGACAATGAAACAGAGGTAGAAGAAGAAAGTGTACAGATTAAGCAAAAAATAATCAAACGTATTATAAACCTAATCACTGCCTATAACTATCCAATTTTATATGATTTGCTTACATTCCCCTAATGGAAATAAATTACAGGTTTTGGTTAAGACAACACAAAAACTAGTGTCTTTTATTTTATTTTTAATACAAAAAGAAAAAAGAAATGTGTAGTATTTTAAAGAAAAATATTTGGGTGAACCATTATATTCATCTCTATTTTTTCTAACCAATCAGAATTTTCTGTCTCCTAACAAATTAAATTTTTTTAATAAATTATATATCGGCTTAGATTTAAAAGAGAAGGTTATAGTTTAAATTTTACAATTAAATGAGGTTTAATGTCATGTTTGAGTTTATAAAAAATAGTTAGAATTTAGATTTTATAATTAAACGAAGTTATATAATATGGATTTGGGTTTATAAATGATGGTTAGAGTTTATATTTTACAATTAAACGATGTAATATATCAGTTTGTTTTATAAAAGAAGATTAGGTTTAGATTTTACGACTAAATGATATTTTTTATATTTAGGTTTATAAAAGTGTTTAAGGTTTATATTTTATAACTAAATGTAGTTAAATGATTGTTTCATTTTTATAACAGAGTAATTAGATTTGATTTTACAATAAGTAACATATTCTGATTAGTTAAGAAAAAAAAAGAGAGGATGAATAAAAAAATCAAGAATTGACTTTACTTTTTTTTTTGTTGTTGTATGAAATTGACTTTAATTTAATCGTTAGAGAATGAGACTTGATGTTATTTAATGTGATGGTTGAGGATCTAAATTGATTGACAAGTTTGAGTTAGGTATTCTGTTGACTTGCTGACTTGAAGAGAGAGTATCGTATATCAACCGGACACATGCTCACGTGCTTTTAATTTACAGAGTGCATTCGTACCAATAAAATTAATCAATTCAATTTTTCTTTTAAAAATAATAGAAAAATATGATGCAATTAAGATATCGAAAATAAAAATTTATAAACAGAATTGTAGTTAAGAAAATGCTCTTAGATAGACATATTAATTCTGTTAGTTAATAGAGAAGATTTTCTAATTGTTAAAAACTCAATTCGTATGTCGCTTTAAGTCATCCAAACAGCTTGTTTGAGAGTTGTAATGTAGCCCTTAATTATCTCTAGTGGGCCTTTTGACTTCCTTAATTTCGGCCCATTTTTAATGCTTTGGAAGAGAGATTAGAGACTTAATAATCTTTGCTATTACATAAAAGAGCGCGTACATTAACGGTACGGAACACAACCTCTCGAGTCTCGTGTTCGAATCATGCCTTTATGGTTGCTTTACTACTTCTAGTGTGACTGGGAGACTTCGACGAGCTCTTACCGTCAAAAAAATTCTAGGGTTTTCTTCTGATCGGAAAATTTTCCCGAAAATCATTGTGAAATTGGGTTCATCTTCTCTGCTTAGAAGCTAGATTCTGGGTCTATAATTCGTTCTTTGCTTCAAATTTCAGGTAAGTAGCGAGACCAAAGATTTCAAATTTTAGTCTTCTTCTCTTTCCTCTACTTCTCTCGTTACTGAGTTTAGTGGGTGAATGTTTTGTACTGCTTGTGAGACTAGGTTTGATTGGTCTGGTCGCTGGTCATTTGTATTAGTTTCTCAAATGTTTTTGTTTCAGGATCGGATAGAGTTATATATATATATAGCCTGCTTAAGTTGAATATGACGAGGAAGTCGAAGAAGAAGTCTGCCTGGGCTAAGACAATTCTGACCAAGGAAATAATTGAGATCGAGTCTGATACAGACGACACAGATGAAGTTGGTGCTAGAAGAAAGTTGGATTTTTGTGGTGAAGAGAATGCCAAGTCTTCGCTGAACAAGGAAATCAAGACTGAGTCACACATAGATGAAGTTTGTGGTAGAATGCTGGATCTTTGCGCTGAAAGGAACGCTCTAAGGGATGATGCTTTAGCTAAGAACCCCAAGAAATCTGCTGTGGCTAAGAAGACCATTGTGGACAAGGAAATTATTGAGATTGATTCTGACACGGACACTGATGAACTTGGTGCTACAAAGTTGCCTTTTTGTGATGAAGAGAATGCATCATGGGATAATACTTTAGCTAAGAACCCGAACAAGTCTGCGGTGGCTAAGACCACTGTGAAGAAGGAAATAAAGACCGAGTCAAACATAGATGAAGTTTGTGGTAGAATGCTGCCTCTTGGTGAAGTGAATGCATCAGGGGATGGTTCTTTAGCTAAGAAGTCTGTGGTGGCTAAGACCATTGTGAAGAAGGAAATCATTGAGATTGAGTCAGACACAGACACAGATGAAGTTGCTGGTAGAATGCCGGCTCTTTTTCGTGCCGAGAATGCATCAGGGGATGATGTTTTAGCTAAGAACTCAAACATGTCTGCGGTGGCTGAGACAATTGTGAAGAAGGAAATAGTTGAGATTGAGTCTGCCACAGACACAGATGAAGTTGGTGGTAGAATGCTGGTTCTTTGTGGTGAAGTGAATGCATCAGGGGATGATGTTTTAGCTAAGAACTCGAAGAAGTCTGCGGTGGCTAAGTCAATTGTGAAGAAGGAAATAATTGAGATTGAGTCAGCCACAGACACAGACACAGACACAGACACAGATGAAGTTGATGGTAGAATGCTGGCTCTTTGTGGTAAAGTGAATGCATCAGGGGACGATCTTTTAGCTAAAGATGGCAAAAACAACATGCAGCTTGTTTGTGTTGATGATTGCGATTCCGGTTTGGTTCATGATTTGGAATATAAAAAGTACTTGGCACATTTTAGCGAAATCGGGAATCTATATTTGCTTGAGGACAATGTAAGGGATAGTTCGCCGGTGCGCATTATGCACAATGTCTCCTACGATTATGAAGAATCTGATAGGAGTAAAGGAAAAGCAGTAAAAACTGAGAAGAGTAAAGCAGGGAGAAAGGCAAAGTCTCCTACGATTTCCAGTGTATCCAAGAGGTTGAAGACTGAGAAGGGTAGAGTAGATCATAAGTCGACTTCGAGGACTGTCTTAAGGACCAAAGAAACCCAGCAAAAGAAAGGAGATGCTCGACGTGGAAGAAAGAGTTCTGTGGCCAAGAACTCTATCGAACTAAAGCCTAGAAGTTATGTCATAGACACAAAACAACAGAATGGAGATGCTCGACGTGGAAGGAAGATTTTTGTGTCCAAGAACACTATCAAATTAATGCCTGCAAGTTATGTCAGAGACTCCCAAGAAAAGAATGGAGATGTTCGACGTGGAAAGAAAATTTCTGTGGCCAGTAAAAACGTCAAATTAAAGCATACGAGAAATGATGAGTCTCAGACAATTTTCAGAGCTTCAAAGAGACTGAAGACTGAGATTGGGAGAGCAGATAATAACTCGATTTCAAAGACTATCCCAGTGTTGGTTAACACCAAAGATATCCAACGAAAGGAACGAGAGGCTTTGCGGTGTAGGAAGATTCCTGTGACCAAGCACAATAATGACTCGAAATATAGAGCTAATGTCAAAGAAAGCTTATTTCACAGTTGCAAACATGCCAAGCAGGAGAATAAAGAGAGCCTATCGTCAATGGATAAAACCTATTCATATTACGTAGCTTATCTAAGAGATTCCATTACCATCTTCAAATCGGATCGACAGGTGAAACCTATGAAAGATGAAGTGTGTTTGTCCGATCCTGATATTATTGCAATCAGTGATCACCCCTTTCCGGATGGAGGCAAATCGCCATTCGAGGCAACTAATGACGGCAAAGTGATAGTATGAATACCTCTATTCTCTCACTTGTCTTTTCTGATTCTTTCTAATTTTTCTATGTTGACATTTTTCATTTTGTTATAATGTTTTCCAAGGATCTTGAAGATGGTATTAAACCTGATGATATATTCAACTCTTGGTTTAGCAAGAAGCTAATGGAAATTCTCAGAAATCCCTATGATGAAAAGGAGTTCTTGAGACTCTATAATGAGGCATCACTCAAGAGACCGTTGACTAAGTCTAGGCAATTACGAGATGGAAGAGAGATTGAATATAATGATCAACACAAGTTGGCACTTTCATATCTCGAAAAGTATACAGGTACATTAATTGAAGCAACTTGGTAAATGTGTTCTTGTAGCGTGTAATGTGCTGAACTATCTTCTCAAAGATAAAACCGTTAACGTATAAATAAGTTTGTGCGCTATAGAAAAGGCTAGCTTGAGACTCAGTCAGCTAACTCTAAGTCTCTAGAGGAAAGCTTGTTGAAGGTGTTCTTACATTTATGCAAATCATACATCTTTAATTGAATATTCACATTTGTTGGGATCTGCTTATTAATATAATCTGAGTATTGCTAAAAATGATGTATTCCATTCATTCTTGGTGGAAAGCATCATCAATGGAATACATCATTTTTTACCTTTGCTTTGCTTTCCACTGAACATATAGTTTTACCTTTGCTTTCCACTGAACATTTACTCTGATTGCAAACATATTGAGTTTACTTTGGTTTTGATTCTGCAGATTTCAACAAGAAGTATCATCGTTATCAGAAGGATCTTCCTAGAGCTTTGAACCTGTTGCGCGGGTTTTTCTTTTATTTAGAGGTAGAGTTTTCTGTTACATGATTATTTTTCTTGCTACAACATGTGCAAATCGTCATGAGTGTGCATTCGTCTCGTGGAACACTCTTGTTACCATCAAACCTTGATTATCAATATAACAAAATGAATGTAAAAGTCGTTTGCGCCATGGATTAAATGTCTTTCGTGGTTTGCTTTTTCTGCAGAACATAGTTCTTGAAGGTGCATTCAAACCCTGGCTGCATGAAAAACGTTTGACAAATCTGTGTGTTGATGCTAGAGGGTGCAAAGATATGGTAGGCAACAAGTAAAGCGGCACCGCACTTCGCTTAAAGAACATCTCAAGTGAAACTCAAGAATCTACAATAAAGTCTTGGATGTGAAGCAAAACGAGAGATCCTACAAGATTTGTATTTGCTATCTCAAGGCTTCTTTAGGTTCATCACTTTATGGTAGTAGTAGTAGTTCTGTAGTTGTAATTTATGACTTCATGTTACGTGCTGCAGATCTTTGAAGTAATTGCAGCTCTTGATTTGTAAACTGTAGTATAGCTTGGAAGCGATCTTATTAGATATTGGCCAAAAAGCCAAGATTTCATTTGAGTCTTTTAACACAAAAATATCTACAAGACTACATCACTGTGTTTCGCCCCAGAAAGCAACTTGTATTATACTCTATACACACTGCATTAGAGAAACAGAACCTACCGGACTCAGCATAAGAACATTACCTTTGCATTAATCCCACTGGTCTGATTAGCTCGTCTATTGAATCATGCGCATTACTATCATCAGAGACTGATTCCTCAGTGCTTGAATCCATGCTTTCACTGGCATTGTGCTCATTAATATCAAGTCTAATAAAGTCAAGGGCTTCCCTTCCAAAAACTACACCGTCAGCAGCAACCTCATTGACAAACATTGGCTCAGACTCTGGAAGATGTTTGTGCGGGGAACCAAAGTAACGCCCACTGACATTTTTATGCCATGATTCACTTGCTCTTTTACTTTTCTTTCCTTTGCTTAGGTTTTTGGGATGGTGGAGTTTGCATTCAGACCCTTGAGGACAAGATCCTGTGGCTTCGAAAACTGGGCAGGTGTATGTGTGCTTCTTCCGACACTGACCATCATTATGTATACAATTCTCATCTTACATCAACATGTCATTAAGAGAGAATAAAAAAGGAACCAAAGCAATTGAGTGATGAGATAATACAACACAGAGAGTAATATATTCAGTGTATTCCTCATGGTATTAGCTTAGTTATTATGCTACAAAAGTAGTCATCAGAGAAATCATTTGGGATGATGAATCACTAAAAGACAGACTAGAGTTACGGAAAGGTGAAGATGAATGTCAATAAGGAACAGATGTGCCGACTATTTACGTCTAATCCTTACCTCATTTTCATCAGAACAGTAGCCCCTTAAAAACCCTTCACATATTGCAGCATTTTGATGAACATGCACATGCCTATATGGACATGGCTCGTTATTGCATAGTCCTGCGTTATAGATATTAGTATCTTTCCAAGCAAAAATGAAACTTCTTACAGCAATATTACCTTGCAGAAAATAATAACAATCAGGCATACTCTCTGGAACTACCTGTGGAGGAACAAGTTAACCAGTCAGAGATTTCTTGTGAAGGCGAAATATACTACCTCTGGGGCAATGATTTAGTTGTTGAACCTTATGAGTCAATTTGCACTCTGGATTGGCACACAATCCACTCAGGAATTTTGTGCAAACTGCAATTTTTGAAGGATTATGAACATATGGACATTTTCCATCATCTTTGTTGCATTTCCCAAATCTTGTGAAAAACTGGCAGTATTTCATCTTTTTAGCCACTCGCAACCGGACATTGATCAGGCTCCATCTGACCTTCTCATTTGTCAACACACAAGTTCGTTTCTTTGGATCTCTGGCAAGCTGATCACAATTTCTAATCCAAACAGATCTGCAAAACTTAGCTCAGATCTTCAGTTGAGGCTTAAATATGAGCAGTAAATGTATATAATGTGCATCAACCATAACATACTTATCATTTTTGATCACTAATCTCTTTGGATTAGATGATATCTTTGTATCCTTCATAGATTCAGAAGGGCAAGAGCGCGATGACTCAATATCTGACAGAAATTCAGGTTTCTTCGAGCCTCTCTCAATGGACTTGGACCACTTGAAGTGTGACCCACCAATACTTAACACTTTGGACTTTGTAAGCGAACACCCATTAGTTGATCTTGTGTAAATTGTATGTCTTTTTCTCATCATCCGCAATTTTCGACTGGAGATGGAATGTTCTGTCATCAAACTAGTGAACAGAGAAAAAGGGGGCAGATAAAAACATATGGTCACATATAAGGTAAGCATACCTGGCGATGGAAAAAGAACCATTTAGCAGAACCGAGGCTGGATTCATTAATCTTCTCCAGTAAGTCGATCTTTTCCAAGAAACTGGCTGCGGGACCATCTTCTGAAGGCTTATGTGAACTCTATTGGCCTTTCTTGATATTGGTTCTTTCAGCGTCCAGACCAAAGAAAAATTAAAATGATTAAAGGGTCTCACAATAGCTAAAACAGGAAACGAAGATCAATTACTCAATTTCTTGCATCTAGCTATGGAAGCAAAAACGTGAAGACCATAGATACAAATATATATATATATATATATATATATATATATATATATATATATATAATAGAAAGAAAACAACACAATCTACTGTGAATGCACCCAACATACCAAATTCAGAAAGCGCCAAGCTAGAGGATCTTTTTGACACCATCTTCGCAGCTGTCTGTGAATTTGAAGCTTCATCAGATAAAAATTTCTCCTGATTAGCAAGGCTCTCTGAATCTCTAACTAGTTGACTTTTACTTCTCCTGAAGTAGCTAACACAGGGAGGAATCCTGCTATTACTTGCACCATGCATATCTGAAGCTGTTACAAACTGATTTGCTTTCCTCTTTACATATAAAATTTTACTTGGATTTGAAGATTCCAACTTTGGCAGATTTGATGATCCGGGTAAACCATTGGCAGACGGATCCATGCCAGGAGATAATGCACATTTCCCTGAAGAAGTACTGTCTGAGGGAGGCATTGAGTGGCTTAGCAGAGGTTGTGTGTCTCCTGTTTTCACAAGAAAAGAAATATTGTCAGCTCAACCAACAAATTGCATGCTATTGTCTTCAAAAGTGGAACGATTCAATTGAAGAGCAGACGGAGGCAATCCAAGAGATATCTCACCTAGAGAACCAGGAGATGGTTTCCGAAGAAGACTATTTCCTTTACGTACATAAGTACTACTGCATTGGACAGTCACTTTGGGCTTGACAGCTACCAGAGGGGAGGCCGAAGTAGTGGACTTTCGATGCCATGTGTGATGATTAGTGACACTAATTGGAGGGCTTGCATCCTCCTTAATGTCATGTAGTGGATAACTTTTCTGAGCAACATGGATAAATTTATTTGCCCTCTTTTGTGTTTTCTCACTTATGGAGCTCAAAGTTGTCTCACTTTGGGAATCTGGAGGTGGTAGAGCGACTACATAATCATTGACATGGGAAACATTACATTTTTCATCTGTATATGAGTGTAACCTGGATAGAAGCACGTCTGAATTACTAGGACTCTCATTTCCAGAAACCTTTCCATCAAATGACAGTGCTTCACCAACATAGACGTCAGTATTAACAATATTTAATGAGACTTCTTGAGGGCCAATATCATATGGTATATCAGTGAGCTTCTCTACTGGTTCACCATCTGGCTTTTCAACTAAACCTCCATCTCCATACTTGTCCATAGGGAGTTCACATGATTCAGCATCTGAAGCAGGTGAAGTTTGACCAGAGCAAAGATAATGCCTTAGAGAGCTACCTGACTGGACTGTCTCATGGAAGGTAATGGTTTGCTCTTGTGAAGCATCTAAAAAAATCTCTTCTTTGTTACGTTCTTCACTATTGTTAGTTTTGTCAACCTTAGCAACAGCATGAGTTTCATTCTGTATCTTCCCAGTGAGTAGCCCTGGTAAACTGGATGAAGAACTCCATCGAAACATTGAATCCTTGATAATGGTAACAAAATCAGTCCCTAAAGTTCTACATTCCAAAGCTTCACCAGTAATCTTTACTTTCTCTTCTTGAATGTCTACATCCATGTTTTCAGCTCTTACCCTTTCCTCTTCTATAATCTCACAATGAGAACTACAATTCGCTTTGACTGACGATGCAGAATTTTGTATCTGCTCATTCACAGAAATAGAGGGAGAAAGATGACGCGTACTGCCAGAACTATCAGGCCCCAAACACATCCTCAAAGGATCAATTACCAGATCTTTATCCACAGAGGACATCCAGAAGGAGCCCATAACATCAGATGATCCTAAATGGTTATTAGCCAAGACCTTACATCCTGCCGAAAATGATTTGAGTTTCAAGGAGGGCACATTCCGAATCAGTAACCATTTCAGTGCCAGAACTGCTCATATATCCAATTGTAAAGCTATTTTCAACTTCTAATTCAGGCGAGTAATCACAAGTAGTAGTGGCCTTTTCCCTAAGTCCTCTATTAAAATGGAACTCACTTCCACCAACATTAGCATCTTTGCTAAGAGAAACATCTGACTCAAATAAACAAGCTTTCAGGCCTCCACAATCTATCTTAGAAGATTGATCCACCGATGGAATTTCTGCAGGATCATGAGAACTCAAACCCAGATCATGATCAGGTGCAAAACATACATCTTCCAAATACACGGCAGATGATAATCCTCTGTCAAAAATTGACACATCACTCCAACCTTCCTTATTCTTACAGATGCTGCGCAACAATACAGAAGTTCCCTCTACGGGCTGCACATTAGGTGATCCCTTTCCTGCAACATTCTTAGGAGATGAAGAGCTGCTAATTATACAAGTGTACTTACCTGCGTCAACAGTGCTATTAAGAGACGTAATTTCCATGGATTCTTTCCTGCTGACAGTCTCAACTGATAAATCAACCCCAATTTCACAGGCTTGACTTTGAGAAAAGTTTTTAGTTTCAGCCTGTGAAACAACAGTTCGATCAAAAGAATCAACCCCCGTAGTGATATTTGTCTCAACAGTAAAGCTGTTATCATTTACCTCCTCTATTTGTAAATCCCTTGATGATGGATCATCCATCTCTTTCTTAGGTATTTCGTCTTCACAAGGTTGGGGTTGCAAACTAGACACGGACTTACCAGAAAAAGGAACCCCTCCTTCAGACGTGACCTTCGAAAATTTAACTTTTCCAGCAGTACAACTAGTTTCCTTTTGGCCCACTCTTTGCTTCTTCACTGATGCATAATCAGAATGGTCTTTACCCCTAAACGAGTTAAACCTTTTCTCATTCTCTCTACCCTTAACCCATCTCTGGTTTACTGTTCCGTGTGTAATGGAACCACGATGCAATGTATCCTTATATCTATCATATCCATAACCAAAACTTGTTCCTGAACCTAAAGAAGTAGAATATCTATCAGAATCCGATTTAAACCGCCAACTATCTCGATAATTTTCCCCAAAGTCATTTATTGCGTATCCAAGACTGCAGAATCCATC